ACGAACTTGCCAAATTCAGCAGTCTCAGCAACTTTCCATCGCACAACTCACCAAAACAAGCATAAATCAGAATTGCGTAGATCGAACGCCAACTTCTTCGATCGCAACTTCTCCGATCTCGATTCCGCCTTCAACAATTAGGCTTCGCCTTCACACACTACACTGGATCGACTCAATCTGAATCAAACATCAATTAATCGTCATCGTTCCCATAGACGGCGCCATTGAAGATGCAATAAATCTCTCTCTCTAAGTTGACAGAGTTTCATTACACTTCAAATCTTTCGATCCTCTCTCTCCTTCATTTTTCACCTATTTATAGATTGTTTACAATGTTCTAGAAGATCCTTAACTAACTTCTTCTGTTGGGCTCATCTTTGAGGCTTTTGCGTCCATGGATCCACTTATCTTTAAGGCCTCCAGCTTCACTCTTCGGCATTGGGCTTGCCTGATGACAGCTTGATTGGGCCCAGACCATTTGCCGGGCCCATTCTTCATCATGTGGGTTTGATCCGACCCATGCCGCCTTTGGTATCCTCAGTTTTTAAAACAAACTTTCCCCTTTTTCTTTTCCCAATGAATGCATGAATGCTTCATGCTTCCAAATATCAAATTCAACAACTAAATTCCATACATTCCACCTATATCATAATCACATTATTAAAGAAAATTCTAACATTTACTTTCATAATTTCAACAATCACTTTTCTTAGCAAATTGAAAATCATAGGGCATCTAAATGTCAACATTAAACATGTATCTTCACTACCAAGTATGTAATCATAATTATAAGCTCAATTAACACATATAACACTTCCATCACCTTAAACATATACAACCACAACCACATAGACAAAATTACTAAAAATTAAAAGTGCTTAGAATCATATTAAAAGGAAAACTCATAAAAGATCAAAGAAAACATGAATTAGAACACCGCTACTTTAATAGATGAGAAAAGCCCCAAAATCCCTAGATTTTTTAAAATCCAATAGTTGGCAAAAAATAAATTGCTTACATCAAAGTGACGGCCTTGACGAGCTCTTCGATTTGCCGCAAACGACACTCAAAAACTCCAAATGGTCAGAGAGAAATTAAAGCTTGAAATCTTGAGAAAAAGAAAAAGAAATAAAGAGAGGATGAGAGAGAACTGCCAGGGAGAGAGAGAATTTGAGGCCAAAATGTGGCCTCTTGGCCACTAAAACAATGGATAAGTGGTGGGGGGTCCCACCACTAAGAATATCCACCTTTTTGCTTTTATTTCCCACCACACACACATATGCATACAAACTATATTATAACCACATAAAAATTAAATAAAAATGAATGAAGGGCAAATGGACCCAAACAAAACCCTTGTACGCGACAATAGTTCCACCCAAGACCTTCCGGCCCGAAAATAGAAAAGTGCCGAAATAGCAACCATTACATTTCTAAGAGTCCTAAACTCAAGGAAATGCTCTAACCAACTCTCAGACATTCTCGGTACACCCCAAGGTGTCTAGCGCGCAAAACGAGAAAAGATAAAAATACCCTCAAGGTTCAGAAAAATTCCAGAAAATGAAAAATGACAAAAAAGTTCAGACCGTCAACTCATTTGAAGTGAAACAAATCTTCATACTCTCTTTGTGCAGGCATGTTCCAACACATGTGGACACTCTTGGCTAGTGTCATAATGTTATTCGGTCTATCAAATGTGCTATATTTAGGTCCGGTTTGGCTAATTTTTTGTTTCGTGTTTTTTACTTTTGCTAGTGTACTGTAGTAAAACAAAAGCACGAAGTATGTTTGACAACCTTTGTTTTCATTTGAATAGTACTGAAGCGCTTCCAAAATTGAGGCCATAATCAGAAGTATAAAAATGATACTTTTGTTAGCTTCCACACTATATTAAAGTACTGTTCAAATATATATATATAATTACAAAAATAAGGATTTTGATTTTTTTACTTCCAAAAATCTTACAACAAATTTACGTTACCAAACAAGTTTTGAAATAGTATTGAACACACTCAAAGTAAAAACACGAAATAAAAGCGGTTGCCAAACAAGCCCCTAATGGATTATAAAAGGATCAGTTATGTTCAAAAATGTTCTTTGTTTATAAATTTGCTTTTCTCTGTTGGGGCTGATTTGGAAAAGTTTAGTTCGTACTTTGTTTGGTAGTATTTAGTGGGTTCATAAGAAGCCAACTGTTTTTGTTGTTTTCATGTTTTCTTCTCTATCCCCTGCTGGGGCTCCATGTACATTATCTTCTATATATACACAAGCTTGCCCTTTAATTATAAAAATATATATTAAAAAAAAAGTGTAACATTTTCCAACTAGGATATATATGTTTTTTTTTTGGGTAAGTGATTTTTTTTTGGTAAGTGATTTATTATGCATATGTTCATGGCTAAAACATATGGACTATAATTTTTATCTGTTTATTTTTATTTTGGTAACAAAACACACTCAACAACTTGCTATAGAGATCATATGGACTCTAATTTTATCTGTTTATTTTTATTTTGGTAACAAAACACACTTAACAACTTGCTACAGAGAGTTGAACCTTTGACCTTGTATTTTAGAAGGCAAGAAAGTATTAGTATACTAATGTCTTTGGTCGTATCTATTTAATTTATTCATAAAGGGAGAGGGAGGCCATATTCGCACTCTCTTTTTCTTTGCATTTTAATTTTAAATCAAATGACACTTTTAACCATAACTTTACAAATTAATAATTATTTCTCTCTAAAACCACAACTACCATTTCATTATATAAGATATTTTTGTCGCCCCTCTTTCCTCAATTAACTTTTTTGGGATCCAAGTTTTTGATAACCCTTCTTTTTCTCTTGCTTCCAAGCTCTCCCAACTCCTCCTTTACTTTCAATTAACTTTTTCTTCTATCTCATTAGGGTTTTGATATTAATCTTTGTAAGTAACAATGAAAGATCTCACAAGTGAATAAATAACAGAGTTAAACGAAGTAATTGATCTTGTTAGCATAAGAGCATTAAATAACTATCAAAATTTCATGACCCGTTAAACTCTTTAATTTGATGTTAATGGTGATGGGACTGGTAATTTTATCTTTTATTTTTCTTTTCTGTTTTTTTTTTTTTTTTTTTTTTTACTTGATGTGATTTTTAAGAATTAATTTGGATGGTGATGAGAATGGTAATTTTATTTTTCTTTTCTGTTTCATGAGTTGAGTTTAGTTTGAATTTTTTTTTCTCCGAATGTGATTTTTAATAATTACTTTGAAATTTCATTGAATCTTTGATAAAAAATTTTTTAACTATTTTAACAATAAAATTACGAAAATAAGGATTTTGTAAATAGAAAAAAAAAAAAAAAAAAAAAAGATGTGTATTTTATACAACCATGACATGATATGATTCATTTAAAATATAGTGTTAAGTAAATATCATAAATCAATAATTTCTAAATTTTATTACTTTGAATAGTTGTAATTGATTTTAACATTGACCATCATTCTAATAATTTCAGTTGAATAAATTTCTCAGCCTCCAAAAAAAAAAAATGTAGTAGAGGACGTAAATAAGGTAAGAGAGATGATGCACTAATGAACTTACGTACTTTCTTATTATTTTCTTTAAAAAAAAAAAAAAACAGTGAAGTGATTGTACAAGTCATAAAATCATAATTTTGACATAATAATTTTATTGCTTTGAATAGTTGTAATTGATTTTAACATTGACCATTATTCTAATAAAATTAGTTGAATAAATTTCTCAGCCTCACCAAAAAGAAAAAAATAAAATAAAATAAAAAGAGAGGTAGTAGAGGAAGTAAATAAGGTAAGAGAGATGATGCATTAATGAACTTATGAAAGGCGATGACGGCGGTGGTGGTGGAAGGTGGTGAAAGGTAATGACAGTGGTGGTGGAGGAGGTAGTGAAAGGCGGCGGTGGTGGTTGCGGCAAACGGTGATGGTAGCGGTGGTGAAAGGCAGTGACGGTGGTGGTGGTGGAAAGCGGTTGGTTATGGAAAGTCGGTGGTGGTGGAAGGCAGTGGTAGTGGTGGTGGTGGTGAAAGGCGGAGATGATTTTGGTGGAAGGTGATGGTGGTTTTTAGACTTGGAATATGATGGTGTTTTGGGAAGTCGATATTTTTAAATAAATTACTTGGGAATGGAATGGCCATTCCATAGGTTTAGTTGTGGAATGGATTTTCATTCACAGAAATGGATTTTCATTCCAATAGAATGGCCATTCCCACCTTAAGTTGCATACCAGACAAAGGAATGGTTGGAATGGACATTCCATCCATTCCATTCCTGCACACCAAACGTAGCATTAGGGATTTTCTTATTATTATTATTATTATTTTAAACAAAAATGAAGTGCAATTGTACAAGTCATAAAATCATAAATTTGACATATTTTAAAAAAAAAAAAATTAATGAAAAAAGTGGAAGATTATTCAATATTGTTTAATAACTTAATTTAACATTTAATTCTAAACGAATTAAGTATTTATTCAATTAAGTGCGTTTGATAATGCAATTTGAATATCACTAAATTCTGAACCCTAAAAAATTTTAAAGTATAAAAAATATTTATTTATTAATTAATTATCATCTAAAACTTTAACACTTTACATTTTGAGTGTATTTTGAGTATTAGACCCAACCCAAAAGTTGTGTTTTGACACAAATAACAATGGGTGTGAATGTACCTTCCGATAAAATTAAAAAAAACAAATGGTGTGAATGTGGTGCTTTTTTTCAAAAAACCAAACATAAGATAATGTGCAAATGCCAAAAGGCAAATCAATCAAATGATAGCCGCGTACTTTTCACTCTTTTTTCAACATGTGGAACCCACACCAGGCTGTCAAACGGTCAAAAGTCATTGTAACAATGGAGAAAATCACGGAGACCCGTTGATTATTCCCCATTCCGAAGATCCATCAATCCAACGGTCAGAATCAAATTACCCCCACCTCCTAAACACCAATAACCAAACATCCCATCAAAAGCAATAGCTCTTTTTGCCCTTTCCACCATCTCCACAATCCTTTTACCTCTGAAATCCCATGAAACCTAAAAACCATCAAAAACAATGTCTACACTCAACCTCCTCTTATGCTTAACTCTCTCACTCCACCCACTCCTTACTCTCTCTCTATGCCGCACTTCCTGCGGCAGCATCACCGTGAACTACCCGTTCGGAGTGGACGACGGCTGCGGCGCCCCACAGTACCGGAAAATGCTGAACTGCTCAACCGACCTCTTCTTCCAAACTCCCTCCGGTAACTACAAAGTCCAGTCCATCGACTACGAGAAGAAGAAAATGGTTATCTACGACCCGGCCATGTCCACCTGCTCCATTCTACAACCTCACCACGACTTCATCATGTCCGACATTCAGTCCGCCATCATTCCTCCGTCTCCGGACACAGTCTTCGCCCTCATGAACTGCTCCATCGACTCCCCGGTGCTCAACCACTACAAATCTCTCTGCTTCAACTTCTCCGGCCACTCGTGTGACGAGCTGTACGGAGCATGCACTTCGTTCCGGCTGTTTCATCTCGTGTCCAACACTTCTTCGCCGGCTTGTTGCTTTACTGGGTATGATACTGTGAGGTATATGAGCATGAATATCTTGGATTGTACTCACTACACCACTGTTTATGATAGTGATGGTTTGAAGGGCATTGCACCAGTGGACTGGTTGTATGGGATCAAGTTGTCCTATAGTATGCCGGATACTGGGTGTGACCGCTGCACCAAGTCCGGTGGCGCGTGCGGGTATGATGTTGAGACTGAAGGGATGCACTGCATATGTTCGAGCACCATGAATTCTACCAGAGAATGTGGTAAGTTGATACTGCAATACAGTAGCTTGAGTCATTAAATACTCTTTCCGTCCCAAAATAATTAGGTACATTAGCTCCGGTCACAGTTTTCAAAGTACTTAATTATTTTGGGATCGAAATGTGAGTAACAGTTCTCAAAGTATCTAATTATTTTGGGACAGAAGCAATAATTACTTTGTATAAAATAATACTGATATTTAAACTTGTTTTTTATATATTTTTTAAGACCCTCAAATAAACAGTGTGTAAAAATAAAAAATAAAAAATAAAAATATAAGTTTATGTAAAAAAACTTTATAAGCAAAATGTTCCACTTATTTTTAATTTTGGGTGCTAAAAATGTGATTATAAAATTAATTTATGTCAAGAAGTTTATTTGTGTACGTGTTTCAGCTGCAGGTAGTGTGGCAAACTTAGGGAAGAGCCATACAGTAGCATCTTTATCACTAGAGACATTGGTTTTGGTTTGGGGTGCAGTTCTTTGTATAATTTTGTAGTGATGCCTCTTTGTATGTAGCTAATGATGATTGTGTTTCGAGATCTGATGAATATGTTAACAGATTTTGCATCTTTTTATTTTTTATTTTTTGGTTTGTTTTGAATGGTAAAGCAAATTCATTTATTTATTTTTTTTCCTAAAGCAAATTTATTGAAAGAGAAGAATTTAGACAGAAAATGGCCCAATACGAAATTAGGCCCAAATTAAACCACAAAGCTACAAACGTACCTAAGCTCAAACTGTGCTGTTCTTTTCTTTTTCTTTTTCTTTTTCTTTTTTCTTTTTTTCCCTTTGTCTAGCAGGAGCAAAGGGGAGGGAGGGGTTTAACAGTACAAAATCTAACAGTTATATTTCTCTTTTATTCACTTCTTTATACACAAAATAATTGGAATTACAATATGTTTGTTTACAAAAAACTGCAAAAACACAAAATTAGTGGCTTATTTAATATAAATTCAGGTGTACCAACATCGAATGTGACATCAAATGGGTCCCTTTGATTTCCTTAATTTTCTGTTGTTTCAACATTTTTTTGAAACATTAGGGGTTAAAAGTGCAAAAAATCTCCTATGGTGCAAAAAAATTCATATGTGGTATAAAACATCTCTTTACTTTTAATTTGGTGCAAATACTCCCCTTGTCTACATAAAAAGACTATAATACCTTCTTGCCAGTAAAATGAAATAATATTAAAAAAAATAAAGTAAGGTAAAATTATCATTTTAGAAAGGACACATGTCTTTCAACCCTGATTGGTTAGGAAGCCCAAAAAAAAAAAAAAAAAAAAAAAAACATGTGTACAAAAATTTATGTAATATTAAAAAAATAAAAAAAATTGGAGAAGACCCATTGTTAAACGAGTGAAGCCCAACTGATAAAAAAAAAGGCAGGATAGGAAGAGAAGGGCAAATTAGGATTTTTAAATTTATTTTATGTAAATTTTGACCAAAAAATGACCAGAGAGGCTTATTTGCACATTTTTTAAATTTTATGGATTAAAATGCACATTTTCAAAATAAAGGGACTATTTGTGTACAATACTTATATTACATGAGGATTTTCTACACTTAACCGAAACATTAACAACACTGGACAATGTCAATTTTCCCCTTGTATTTTACACTTTACAACCAAATATCATCAATTTCTGACCAAATCAAATTAAAATTTAATTTTCCCGTAAATTTACTCTGTATATCTCTTATCTAACTCTAGATGGAAAACTTACCCACACTGAGTCTTCCTTTACAAGAAGTAGATAAAAATAATACAAGTTTTATTGTGATTACCTTCGAAGAACTTAAGATAGGAATTCATGAATTTAAGAAGTAGAGAAATATATATATATATATATAATGGATTTAAATGTTTTATGACCAATATGTGTGAAGCCCATTGAGCGTTGTTCACGTTGCATGGAATCGAACACCATCGTCGAAAATATAAAAGCCCGTTTCCTAATTACTAAACCATTTGAAATAGTAATGCACTCTGGACTGGTAATGTCTTTTGCTTAATTTTATTTTCACCATTCTATCTTAAATTTCAGTTTTTATAATGCATGGTGAAATGGTTTGATAATCAAACCTAATTTCACTTGTTTTTTGAGTTATGATGAATTGTTGATAATATATTTTAAAATTGATATTTTGTTTGGTTTAGCCAACGCAATATGTTTGATATTGGCCTAAATATTATAAGCAAAACGAATTGATAAAAAAAATATCATTTGAAAAATTAATCTCATGGTAACTTTTATCTCACTGTCAATCGCTTATTTTATGAAAATATACTTTTATCTTACTATGTCCAACTTTATCTCACCCTTGTATTACTAAATGGTGAACATTAATACGAGAATCTAATCGAATTCAAGTTTGAAAAAAAGTTAACTTTGTTAAATAAATTATTTATTTTGATTGGACTCAAAAATAAAAAAATAAAAAATAATGTTATATAAAGGGTAGTTTTGACGTTATAAAATAAGGAATTATGCATTAACGAATTCAGAGAAGTTATTATTATTTCTTTAAAAGAAAAAAGTAAGTGGAGTGCAATCGAGAAAAGTAAATGCCCTCTCATTTGAAAAAATGTATATAATTGACTGAGAATTTTTAAAAAATTTCCTATAAAAAATGCTCCTGCAGTCAATTTAATACACTTTTTTCCACTTCAAAAACACTCTAGCGGCTGGATTTGCCGACTTCTTGTTTCCAAAGGCCAAAACTAGCATAAAAACTTAAGTTCGAAATAATTGGTGAGTTTAGAAATTCGGAACTTTTTTGCTTGAATTTAACTTATGCATTTTATTTCTTTGTAGATTTCATAATTAGTACGTGATTCAAACTTGAGGATCTAGCAATTTCTAAAGTTTTGGGTCCCTTTTTCAAAAGAGAGATATTTATCTTTGATGAAGAATTAGAAATGATAGTTTTGTGTTAAAGAGCATGTTATACATTCTATTATAAATTAAATATTCATTTTACTACCTACTTTATTTTAGTTTTCAAATTTATTTATCTTATTTACTGCTTTTTTAAATTTTCACTCACAAATGGTAACTTTTTTGTGATATACCTCTTATATATTTATATATATTCTGTTAGGATTTAGAACTCATGAATTAGTCATTAAATTTTTTAAATGGTCTTAAAAAAAATAATAAAAATTACTAAATATTTACTTTTATTGAATTAAATTATAAAAATAAGTTTATCAATATATTTTGGACACCATATGCAAAGTCACAAAAGAAAAAAAAAAAATATTTAAATTGAATATCCGTTACCACGCTTCAAATACTAAAGAAAATGTATCATTCCTCTTTTCTTTTAATTATACGGCCAGAGGCGGAGCCAGGATCTTGAGGTTGGGGGTGCTAAAATTATAAATAATATTACCTAGCTAGAACTTTTGAAAAAAAAAAAAAATTATTACGTAGGCAAAATGTTTTACTATTTATTATATTCATACAAAAATATATCTATCTAAATTTTTCCCAATTTATTTAAATAAAAAAACTAATTATTTAAAGAAATTTTTTATCAAACTTTCTAAACAAACACAAATAAGATTTGGCATTTATAAAAAAAATTCAATTGAATAACTCTCTCTATTTACCGAAAAGACAAAAAACAAAAAATAACTTAAAAAAATAAAAGTAACAATTGAAAATTTAACAAAACAATAACAGTGATAAAAAAAAAAAAACACAAACAAATTAATAAAATAAGAATTTAAATTCTTAAATCATCAATTTTTGTTGATATTCAAAACTTCAAATGAAATTTTTGTTCTAGATTTTGTAAATATTAATTTCTTATAGAATTCTTATAAAAGCATTCTAATAAAAATAAATAAATAAATAAAAAAAAAATAAATAAATAAATAAAAAGTGATGGAAAGAATCATGTATGAGAGGGAATTGTAGGATAATAAGGTTATGGAAAGAATCGTGCTTGACTTGGAAGGATTTTAAGATAGTTACATTATGGAAAGAACAGTGTTTGAGTTGAAATTTTAAGATAGTCACATTAAATATTAAATTTTTATACGAATCAGTTTTTATCGAGTTTAATAGTTGTCAATTAAAGATATTTTTTTTTTAGAAGGGAGCCAAGGATAGATTTTATACTATATATGCTATATTATTTTATTTTTGCCTATGCGAAAAAAAAAATAAATAAATAAAAAAATTAGGGGGGCCATGGCTCCTCCAGCCCCCCTCTCCTCCGCCCCTGTATACGGGTAAACAGTAGTTATTGAGCAGGAGACCCATATTTGTCACTTTTAGTTGGATTGCTTTATAAACACATCATTCACGTAAGAAAGCAGAAAGAGTGCCCACCTGAGTATAATATCTTGCAAACTTTTAGATACCAAGATCGATCATGACCACAGATGGACTAAGAAACTCAGACGTATGCTTGGGAAGAGCGTAATGAAAGGATATTAAAAAAAAGAAAGCTACTCAGAGGATTGTGCTTCAAAAGATTTGCTCCACAGTGACTTTAATTTTGAAATTGAATTTTCTCCAAGATTGAAATTTGTCCACCTCTTGTTGTTGTCCCCCTCCAAGGTCGCTTAAGTCTCGCCGGCGGCAATGCTACTGACTGGGTTTCACTAGAATTGTGCTCTTACACCATCCATTAACGGTTCTCCAAAACCGTTAACGTAGGTTGTTTGTTTTGGCTGAACTTATCTCTTGTAGGCTTTTTTTGGGCTTGTTTGTTTGGCCTAATGGCCCCTTTTGTAATTACCACCATTTTTCATATATATATATATTTATTTCGGTGGCTTTAAAATCCAAAAAAAAACTCAGACGCATGCTCAGTTTATTTGTCTAAACCAACCTTTTTGTCGTAAATTAAATATGTGCAATAATTTGTAAATCAAACATATTATTTAGATTATACATATTATTTAGATTTGGTGCGTTTTCTGAGAGTTGAATTCATGACGTCCGAATTTACGAGTCTAATTAACTCACACAGTGTATTTAGAATATGGGTGGACAAATAATCCGCAAATTTGATCCGATCCAATTCATGCAAATCGGATCACGGATCGTTGACGGATTCCAAAAAATTAAATTCGTACCTCATGGGTCGGATCATGGATTGGACTGTAAAAATCCGATCCGATCCGCAAAATTTATATAAGTATATATATATTCAAAGAATGTATTAATTAATAATTATTTAATATATTCTAAGAATATTATATATATATATATATATATATATAAATGGATTGAAAAAATCTTAATCCACTATCAATATGAGAATTGGAGTTTTTTCCAAATTATCTAATATTGTTTATTTTTTAATTATAGTCCAATAAATAAAATTTTAATTTATCAACATTAATTAATATATATATATATATCAATTAAGATTTTTTCTCAGATTGAGAGTGGATTAAGATTTTTTCAATTCATTTAAGAGCAAATCAAATTAGAATTAATACTTAATCCAATTTCATCCGAGGCACCCCTAACTTGAAAGACATTTTTTTTTTTTTTTCACCTAACTTGAAAGACTTGAAGCATTTACTTTTGCAATTTAAAAAGCCGCGAAATACCAATGACCTTTGTTTTTTTTTTTTTTTTTTGGAAGCTCACTTATTCTTCTACCACTTTTTATTTTTATTGGCTGCCGTCTTTTCTTCAAGTGCTAATTCAAAATAAGTTTGCCCGTTTTGGTGTGTTGCTATTTTGCCTTGGGCCCATCACGTTTGAATTCTACTCCAACCCAAGCACCAACTTAGTGTGCTCTCTCCTTTATCGTTGGATTCTCATTTTTGTGCCAAGAGTGTGCATCACTTGTCTCCATTTTTTACATTTTAATCAACTTTTTCATATCTATGGTCTCTTTATCGGTCCAAAAAACAAAGCAAAAAATTAAAAAATAAATAAAGCATTGTTTATACCCATAATTATCTACTTTATTCTAAATCACATAAAAAAGGAGTGGGAGCGAGAGTGAATTCGAGAGCCGGAGCGGGAGAGCGGCAGAATTAAGTCATAAATAGTGAGAATTTGAACCAAAACGCGCACGGAGCGTAAGCGCGCTTCCGCTCTCGGAGCATAAAAGCGACACCCGTTAAGAATAATTATATGATTTAGGCTTTATTTAATCTCCATTTTTGCACCCCACATTAAAAGAATCAAATTTTACCCACTTCCCTTAATTTTCTCAAATAATAATGCCACTTACTTGGAAATAGCAAAATAGATTTCAATATTGTAAGGTCAATTGGCTTCTTGCCCTATAACTTGCCAATCAAGCTCAATTCACAAAACTCCTCCGCCTTCTTTACATCATTTTATGAAAAAATCAGGATATACCATGTAATTGGCATACCCAGCCAATGATCATGCACTATTTTAATTGGTTAAGAGTAATTTTTATGTGTAGACGAGACTAATTTGATTGAATTATGCATATTGATTGGTTGGGCATACCAATGACATGACCAGGAGCGGAGCCACGATCTTGGAGTTGAAAAAAAAAAAAAATAAGCCAAAATAACATTACTATTCATTATATTCATACAAAAAATTTTAGGCAAACTTGATTTTTAATTTTTTGGAAAATAATATTGGTGAAAATTGATTACCTATTCCGCTATTGGGTCCTTGAACAAGAGCAATTTGATTTTTTATTTTTTTGGAAAATAATATTGTACTTTCAGTGATTGAAAACGAAGAGAGCCACCATTTGGTGTGATTTTTGAGATCCATCAAGTTCAAAATCATAGATCTGAAAATAGAAAAATCAAAATGTAAAGTGATTTGGAAACAAAAAAATCAAAATGTAAAGTGAGAGAATTTTGAATCTGAAGTGTTTGATTTGATGAAAATAATATAAACTTTGATTAATTGAGATGCCATATTCAAAAATCAAAATCATACAATTTGAAAATAGAAAAAACAAAGTGGAGAGAGAGAATGGGATTGACATTGTTACGGAGGGAAAGAATTACGTCCCCCCATTTTGTGAAAAAAAAAAAGTAAAATAAAAAATAGCCCAAAATTGAGCCATATTTCAAGGAATGATTGAAAAAAAAAAAGATTTAAAATAAGTTAAAAGAAGTAAAGATCCGATGTATGTAATAGATTATATATATATAACTAAAAAAATTTGGGGGGACACTTATACTTTTTACCTATACAGGCAATATTAAATTTTTTTTTTTTTTTTTTTTTTTTTTTACCTATACTAAAAAAAATTTCCATAATTTTAGGGAGGCCATGGCCCCCTCCAGCCCCCCTTGGCATGTCATGTCCAGATCCCTGTCTGGACATGACATGCCTTACTAACCTGAAATCTACTGAAAAATCAAATATCCTTCTTCATCTCCCACTAACGGAAATTATTTTTTTCAAAGAATCCATCAAAGCATTAAAGCAAGGGTAGTAAAATAACAAACAAAGAACATGATAGGATCACTTTAAACCCAAAACCCAACACTTCAAAAAGCGACGAAGTAGGAAAATTGAAATCTCAAAGAAGATTATAGTTAGGAGGACTTATTGTTTGTGATGAGGAGAGAACTACCACAATAAAATTGGGAGGAAATGGTTTTTTCTTTTGTGTTCTAATATGTTTTTAACTTGCTTTCAATTTAATTTTTTTTGATGAGAACAAATATTTTAAGCAAAAATTCAATAATAGAAAAAATTACTCAATAATTACTTAATTACATTTTAGTCACACCTGTCGATTCTTAAAACTTCTCAATTATATCTTAATATTGATTCCAACTTTAGGAAATTGAGTTTTGAATTTTTGTAAAACAAGCCAATAAAAAAACTAATAAAAACAAAAAGAAAATCAGTACAACTACATTGGGGCCACTTTTAATAATCACAAGACTTGGAGGTGTATCCCACAAATATCACAATTCAATTTGAAAACGGGCGGGCCTATACTGTCACTCATAAATCATAATCCACTGCTCTATTCTATCTCTGGGGTTTCAGCTTTTTAAGCGTTTCAAAATTCACTCACTCCCAATTCGAAAACCTCTCAGTTATGGCAGACAATCATCATTTCATCATCACAGTCCCATTGGTCAACCCCAAACCCTAATTTCATCAAACACCTCTTTGATTCAACTACACAACCCTAGGGTTTTGAATTCTCCATTTCTGACTAGCTCTGAGCTTCTTCTTCTTCTTCTCAAAATCAAAGCTGATCCATGTCGAAGGACACATCCTCTTTGCGATTCATCGCTCGAAACACTTTGAGAAATGTACAATTCGTGGCTAACGAGAACGAGTTCGAAAATTCATCCAATCCAATCCATTTTCCTCCTCCGAGAACACCTCTGGACACAATATCAGATCCATCACAGCACCAGAGAGAACTTCAAGAACTCGATTTCAATTCTCAAATCAAGTTGAAGGTAGCTGAGTTAGTTGATCATCCGATAAAAGAATTTGAAAATTCCGAGAGTCAATTGACAGTGAATAAGGGAACTGGAAACCTAGGGCTCAATTACGGCACTCCTAGGATTTTGAGTCGAGGAAAATCTCATTCGGAACCAAACTCGGCGCAGAGTACTCCGGCAAGGTGTTCTTCAAGGACTTCAAATGTTGGAACATTGGGGGCTTGTACTGGGCCTAGACCTCCTCAATCTGGAGCTAGATTAGGGAGCTCTTCTAGGGTTTCTAGAGGGATTCCGCTTGTAAATTCTGAACCTTCTGTTGAAGTCCCACATTTTGAGCTCGTGGAGGACAATTCGTTTTGGAAGGATCACAATGTGCAGGTAGGTTGGTCTTGTGTATTATTTCAAATTTGGTGACTATTTATTGTTCTAAGCTCTTAAGTTGATATGCTGAATGTTGGTATATAGGTTTTGATACGAATTAGGCCGATAAGTAATACACCGAGTGAATTCCGAGGATATGGTCGATGCTTGAGGCAAGAGAATGAACAGACCTTACTGTGGCTTGGCCATCCTGAAACCAGATTTACCTTTGATCATATAGCTTGTGAAACAATATCACAGGTAATTAATAATACCGCATGATTGTCTTTTGCACTTACATTATATTATATTATGGTACATCAAATCATGATTTACATGAACACTTATTTGATTTACTGCATGTAGGAAAAGCTTTTTAGGGTTGCTGGATTACCCATGGTGGATAATTGCATGTCTGGGTATAACAGCTGCATGTTTGCTTACGGTCAGGTATTTCTTGCCATAGGTTTTGTGTCATTATACGGTTATAGTCTTTTATGGGATTGATTTTGAGGTCTTAAATACTTTCCTGCAGACTGGTAGTGGTAAAACATATACTATGATGGGTGAGATATCTCAGATGAATGGGAATCTTGGTGAAGATTGTGGGATAACTCCCCGTGTTTTCGAATATCTATTTGCAAGGATTAGAGAGGTTAGATGCATAAAATTCTCCGGGTGTTCTAGTACCATATTATTTACATGTATTTGATATGCTCTTTACTTAATGCTGCATCTCCTCTCCGAATATCATTTGTGTAGGAAGAGGAGAACAGGAGGGATGAACGACTAAAGTACAGCTGCAAATGTTCTTTCCTTGAGATATACAATGAGCAGATAACTGACCTCTTGGAGCCTTCATCAACTAATTTGCAAGTAATATCAAAATATTATTTTGTTCATGCTGATTGCTGGTGTTAATGATACATATCTGTTTGATGAGTTATACAAGTGGTTTTCGTGTTTTAGCTCAGAGAAGACTTGAAGAAAGGCGTTTATGTTGAAAACCTTACAGAACATAATGTGAGAACTGTTAGTGATGTTCTAAAGCTACTGTTACAGGTCTGACTCAATGGTGAACTTTTTGTGCTTGATTATAATGGATAAGAGTTTATGCTTGACTAGTCTGTTTTTACCTTGCACAGGGTGCTGCAAATAGGAAGATTGCGGCAACCCATATGAACAGTGAGAGCAGTCGGTCCCATAGTGTTTTCACATGCATCATTGAAAGCCATTGGGAGAAAGATTCTATGACCCACCTTAGGTTTGGCCGATTAAATTTAGTGGATCTAGCTGGTTCTGAAAGGTGAATATTATTTCCATGATCACCTATCTTAGTTCATTGTGCTTCATGGTTGAACTCATGTTTCTGATATAATTAGGCAGAAGAGCTCTGGTGCAGAAGGGAACCGCTTGAAAGAAGCAGCAAATATAAACAGATCCTTATCAATCCTCGGGTAACTAGATTAGATGCCTGTTTTCGAGTTATGTTGCTCTGAGAATACTGCAGTACTTTCCAACGATTGCTTTTCATTTTTCCACATGCATTTTTCAAGCTATCTAGATTTTTGTGGACCCACTGCATGTCATACCTTCCAGAGCTGGGAGATCACAATTAAAGGAATATTCTCAATATCGTTCTTGGTTATGTGTTATTGTCTTCTATAGGGCATGGAGAAATAGCTCAAGATGGTGAATGAGAAGCTACATTGTTAGAATCAGCATTTTAGATTGGATTGCTGGGGGTTATCGAAAGAGGATTGTAGGAATAAATCAAGAACTGTAAGATTATTTGAAACCTGAAAAAAGATAAAGGACAAGAAGAATAAGAAGAAGAAATATCCACCCTTCAAATTTTGGAAATGCAGCTTAAAGGGCATAACAGTTACTTCCTAGTCAAAAGTTGGAAGTTACATCTCGTGTGTATAAAGACCAGGGATTTAATCCATTCATCTTTATGTGTAAGTCTGAGTTTTATTCGTTAGCTTTAAAATCAAGTTGTTGTTAAGTCTGTTAGACTACCAATTGCCCTAAAAGCTTAAATTGTTAAGAAATGGGCCTACCAATGTACATTAACTCTGACACACTCCAAACAAGAAAGTGGAACAAATGCAGAGGTGGAGAATTGAATTCAACATCTCTGAAAACTAAAGCTCTAAGATTATGCTAGTCCACCAATTGCCTAAAAAACTTAAGTTGTTAAGTGTTGGGGAGCGGAAGCACGCGAAGAATGAGGATCCAATAAAAGCCAACAAAGCAATCACTCACACACACTAGATATACAAGGTTCAGCCAAAACTGGCCTACGCCCATGGATGAGAATGGATTCCACTATGATTCGTAGAGATATTACAACAATAGAGTACCAACACTAGCACTCCACGAGTATATTTCCTCGCTACCAGCATCACCGGTGTTTTTCCTACTTTACCAACCCGCATACTACCTCTGCACATCAACTCCTTCATGAGACTACATCTCTCTCAATCTCACAAGTCTCAACCTGTAACGACCCGAATCTGTAGATCCGGACCGTTACCCGGGTCCTTACCCGAATCCGAGGTCAACTAGGTCACACCGTCAATTTCTTGAGTCCTTAACCATTATACAAGGTAATCCAAGGTCCAAAAAATGTCCCAAGTCAAGCTTACAAGGAGGTCCATACAATACAGGTCAAAGAGGGGTTGTCAGCCCGCTGATGGCCCATGGTCGGCCGGCTGACAAGGCAAGATCAGTCGACTGACAAGGCAGGGTCGGTCGGCCGAAACGGTGGTGAAGAAATAGGCTCTTGGGACTTTCACTGTTTTCAACTGTCGGTCAGCTGACGATGGGGGTTCGGTCGGTCGACCCTGGGGTTTCGGCCGGCTGATGAGGAGGTTCAGCCGGCCGAAACATGCTTTCCTGTGCTTCAACCCACTGGAATGGCTACTGCTTGTATTTTCAACTTACCAAACCTATATTGCACCTGAATAGCAACCTATTCCCAATCCACGGCAATGAACTAGGGCACTACACAATTAAATGGTCTCAAAAATAGATCAAAATATAGTTTCCATACCCATTCATCAACTAGTGTTTACATAACCATGATCTCTCTCAGAATGCTAACATAAATTATGGTTTACAATACATGATCATTACATAAAAAGAAACGAATTTACAACATTCTAGCTTTTGAGACTATACAAATAAATGAACCAAGATATAAAATAAATATCAAATTACAACTTCTAATCTTCTTCAAGCTAATGGGGGAATGCCATCCACCACTTCCTTTCTGAGTCCTGAAAAATGTTAAATAATAGGGTGAGCATAAAGCTTAGTAGGTAGTGCCTAAGACACACCTCTTGTAACCCTGTGAATCCAAACAAAGCATAGACCAATAGGGAGTGGGGTCATACTAAACCGGGAAAATACAATATACATTCTCCAGTTCAAAACACATGAATATCGTGCCATCCATCACTTTCCAAACTGTTAATATAACCCGCCCTTTGGTGACCCCGCAGCGACACGAGAGAAGGATTGGCTAGTGTCCCTGACCCTTGGTACCCCCGCGGCGTCATTTTGGGCCCAGCTAGCTCAACCACGCTAGGGCGGTCTCCCTAGTTCCCTCTAGGCTATATTAACACGCCTTTTGGTACCCCCGCGGCGACCGGGTTTTCTAAAAAATCTCTTTAACCAAAACATTTTCCCAAAATCTCTTTTTTTCATTTGTTCAAAACCATTTCCCTTCATTTATGCCCCATAATATGCATGCATGTCTCATGTATACATTACTAGGGCATTAAAGAATTTATACAACACAATAAGCATGTTTACAAATAATTCTAGGAAAATTTCCATAAATTTCCAAGTATCATTTCTAGTAATCTTGTCAACACAATAGCATAGGGAAATCAATAATTAAGCATGCCCTCCGTACAAATCAACAATTACACATAATCACATGCTTCATATACCATATCAAGTCATTTAAGAAACAAGTAATTCAAATTAAATCATGCTTAACAACAATTTAAGTAGAAGGCTCACAAAGGTGCAAGAAAAATGTGAATTAGAAACCCCTACCTCTAATTGGATGAAAAGCCCCAAATTTACTCGCAAACCCTAGAATTAGAGATCCTCCAAATGGTGGCCAAATGAAGATTGGCTCCGATCAATTCGTAGACCTCGTCGTGGGCTTCAATTTGCCACAAACAGCATCTAAAAACTCTAAGAAATGAGAGAGAGATCTAGGATTGAAGCTTGGAAAAGAAAAAAGAAAAAAAAATAAAGAATGAGAGGGGAAGAGAGAGCTACGGGAGAGATAGAGAGAATTGAGACCCAAAGTGGTCTCTAGACCACTTAAATGGGGTGAGGTGGGTCCCACCCGATTTTCTTTTCTTTTCTCTTTTACTTTGCTTTTAATTTACACCACAAATACATATATACACTTAACAATTTGCACTCACATAAGATACATTAATAAAATGCATATGATGCAAATGGACTCAACTAAAATTCCCGTACCCGACAGTTCTGGTAGCGGGTCCCACACGGAACCGTCCGGCCCGAAAAACTGAAAAATGTGAAAATGGTCATCCTTGCATTTCAAAGAGTCCTGGACTCAATGAATATCCCAAACAACTCTAGGACATAACTAGCACACCCCATAGTGCCCGGTACACAAAACGGTAAAAGATGGAAATGCCCTTGCGGCGACAAAATTCCCAGAAAAAGAGAAATGCCAAAAATTGAAAACATTACACAACCCAAAGCCTATGTATCTATTTATAGAGTTCCAAACCCAATTCCTTGTTGGACAAGGATTGCAATTTCTTAGAGGTCAAGACTTGTCAAATAGGAAATTACCAAACATAATACAACTCTAAAATAGAAACATAATTAGAATAGGAATTTGAGATACAATTTCCAACAATCTCCACTTTGGCTCAAAATTCCATCCAACCAATCATTGCTTCCCATGGCATTGATCAGGACAATTCTTTTGCAGCTTCAATCTTGAAGATACTCCTGTAAAACTCCGATTGTCCAAGTTATACATTGCTCGCGATCAGTCAAACCTCTAAGGCTCCACCTTGACTACTCGAACTCCATGCGATGTAACCAAGTTGATTGACTCCACCTCCAACTAAAGCCCGTTGCACTACATGTTGAGACTTCTTGTATTTTCTGAATCTCCTTCACCTTTGGCTCTAATACCAATTTGTTGGGCGCAGAAGAAGCGCGCAAATAACTATGTTTCAATGACAAATCAAAGCCAACAAAGCAATCACACACAAACACAAGATATACATGGTTCAGCCAAAACCGGCATACGTCCATGGATGAGAAGAGATTCCACTATGATTCGTAGAGATATTACAACAATAGAGTACCGAAGCCACCACTCCACAAGTCTATTCCCTCGCTACCAGCATCATCAGTGTTTTTCCTACTCTACTCCCACATACTACCTCTACCCACCAACTCCCTCATGGGACTACATCTATTTTGTTGTAAAGTATAAAACAGAAGTGAGGAGAGAAATGAAACATGAAGAACACAAAGATATTACGTGGTTTAGCCACTAAGACCTACATCCACGACACAAAGAGCCCAAAGGGTTACATCACTTTATAATATATTCTCTTTTAATCTTTGTATACAATGATCACCTCTATTTATAGGTGAAAGAATAGAGGTGATAAATATGGAAAATACATTAATGGAAGATTCCTAAAATCAATACCATAAATCACTCCAATCAATATTCTATCATAGGCTAAAATCTCTCCTATGATCTTCTCATATCAAATATTCTGTCAAGGAGTAATTTAGGGGTTCCTATAATAATATTTTCCAAATATAACATCTTCTAACACTCCCCCTCAAGCTGAAGGGTGTATGGAAATAACGCTCAGCTTGCATATCAAATCATGAAACAGATCATTTTCCAACGATTTGGAAACAGACAATAAAACTGCTAGAGACACGGTGAATGCGAAGAATAATGCTACCGAACACACCGGTAGCCCAAATAAGTCCACATAGCACCGAACACATGGCGAAGGTTACGAACAATGTTACCGAACACACCGGTAGCCCAAACAAGTCAAAAAAACCTGCCGGAGACACGGCAAAGGCGAGGAACATTACTGCCGAACAAACCGACAGCCCAAACAAGTCATAAATAGCACCGAGAAACCCTTAGCAACATTTCAGATGCTAAGGGAATACACCAAAATAGGGGTCCGAACCTAGGAAAATAAATTAGGCTCTGATACCATGTTGTAAAGCATAAAATAGAAGTGGAGAGAAATGAAACACGGAGAACACAAAGATATTACATGGTTTAGCCACTAGGACCTACATCCACGGCACAAAGAGCCCAAAGGGTTACATCACTTTATAATATATTCTCTCTTAATCTTTGTATACAATGGTCACCTCTATTTATAGGTGAAAGAATAGAGGTGATAAATATGGAAAATACATTAATGGAAGATTCCTAAAATCAATACCATAAATCACTCCAATCAATATTCTATCATAGGCTAAAATCTCTCCTATGATATTCTCATGTCAAATATTCTGTCAAGGTGTAATTTAATCCTATAATAATATTTTCCAAATATAACATCTTCTAACATCTCTCAATCTCATAAGTCTCAACCCAAAACCTATGTATCTATTTATAGAGTTCCAAACCCAATTCCTTGTTGGACAAGGATTACAATTTCTTAGAGGTTAAGACTTGCCAAATAAGAAATTACCAAACAGAATCCAACTCTAAAATAGAAACATAATTAGAATAGGAATTTGAGACACAATTTCCAACATTAAGGAATGAGCCCAACAATGTATATCAAGCTCTATAAAAGTTGATACCTTTAGAGTCATAAATAAAATTTTCAGAAAAATATTATTGTGCAAATTGTGGACATGTATATTCTTACAATTTAACTGCTGATTCTATGACAATTTTACTGAATGGTGATTCAGCTCAGCCATGGAGTTGAATTGAGATAGTATCCAACCAAGAATCTTATGATACTGCAACGTGAATTTCTCTTATGATAAATGTAATGGCAAGGAACATTCCTCGATACCACTATCTTCATAAGCTGTTTTTTTTTTTTCTTGAGGAGATCATCTCTGATTTTTTATTTTTTATCTTCTCTTAAATTTACTGTGCTTTATAAGTTAATATTGATCCTCTGTTTTTGAAAATTTCCCTCGTGTGTTTTTTTATGAGCAGTTACATAAATGCTTTTTACCTGATAGATTCTTGAAAGTTAAATTCTAATAAGAACACCTTCAAAACAATGATATTTGACAGCATAATTTGAGCATTAGATACTGAATTCAGCAACCTTCACATGATTGGATATCTCTTGGTGGGATTTATTACCGTGGATGAGAGTTGGGTATTGCATTTGTTTTACTGTAACTTCTCTGTATACTGTGGTTGCAGTCTGGTGATAATGTCTCTGGTAGATTTAGCACATGGCAAACAAAGACATATACCTTACAGGGACTCTAGGCTCACGTTTCTCCTTCAGGTCAGAAAATTAAAGCTTTAAAGCATAAGATGACTCCTAACAAATCGATAATCACGTAGGTTCACTTATTTCATGGTAACTCCTAAACTGCAGGTTATTATGGTTTTCTTCTTTGGTTGCAGGATTCTCTTGGTGGGAATTCAAAAACAACAATGATTGCAAATGTCAGTCCATCTTTTTGGTCTGTGTTAAAACAAGTCTCTGTTTGAAGTTTAAAATTAATTTTCTTTTGCATTCTTTTTCATTAATTTATTTTTGTTTCCTCTTCAGCTCTGCAAATGAGACATTAAGCACTTTGAAGTTTGCTCAGCGAGCCAAACTTATTCAGAACAATGTACTAACTTTGAAATTGTTCACTTTATTTCAATAAGAGTTAGAATTCTGATAGAATTTTTTCTTTCTAATTTCCTCTCGATTTTTCCAGGCTAAAGTAAATGAAGGAGCTTCAGGTGACGTAACAGCATTGCAGCAGCAAATCCAACAATTAAAGGTCTGAACTAGCTGCAGATTTTTTCATGTTTCATGTTGGATTCACACAAGCTAATAGAATCAAGGCCCTTATCTATTTCAAACAGGGCCAGTTGTCCTTTCTGATGCAGCAGCATAACATTTCCAGGTCTCTTTCACAGTTTGAGCCAAGTGTTCAACAATCTAGCTTGGGGGATTCTCCTGTGGGGTACAACTTGTCTGGGGAAAGAAATATAAGTGATGATCATAAAATACCAAATGTTCGAAATAGGACGGTAATCATTTTGGCGATGTTAACTTATTTCTTCATGTCGCAACTCCTAACTGTTGTGTAATACAATGACATCCTAATATATATATATATATACACTCACACACACATATGCATGTATATATCAGACAAAATGTTCGGAAGCTATTATGCTTGGTGCTCTGAGGAGAGAGAAATTGGCTGAGACTGTAGTAAGGAGATTAGAGGCTGAAATTGCACAAATGAGCCATTTGGTATGTCTAATTATAACAACCATCCGAATATTCTTCAACTTATTCCCACAATTTTTTGGTAAATATTAGTAGCCACAATTCGTAACTGCTATATAAGTCTGTTAATAGCTGAATATTAGAACAAGCAACAGTACTGTCATATGATTTGATTAAATTGAAGTAGTGGCATCTGTTTCAGGCTCAGCAAATGGAAGAAGATGTGCACCGTAATAAAACGATGCTAAGGTTCCATGAGGAAGAAAATAAACGATTAGAATTGTTCGAAGACGGCTTAGTCTCTATCGATAAGTATCTCGTGGATGAAAATAATGTTTTAAAAGAAGAAATTCAACTGCTTCGAGCAAGTATTGATAGAAACCCAGAATTGACCAGACTTGCATTGGAGAATAGTAGACTCCTCGACCAGCTCAGATTGTAATTCTCATGAATAATTTCTCTAATGCTTTTAGTGACTGCTATTTCTTTACCCAAAAATTGGTATCGGTTATAATTTTTGTAGGTGTCACTCATAGCTCTTCCAATCAGGTTTCAAAATTTCTATGAACAAGGAGAGCGAGAAACATTGCTAGCTGAAGTTTCAGAATTGCGTGATCAGGTTTAGGAAGATCCTATTCTTGTCTTCTCTATTACAATTTACAATCCAGTCCTTGTGGGCATTCTGAAAGTAAATTCAATGTGCAGCTTCTGGAAACACTTGAAGGAAACTATGCACAACATAAATTCCCTCCAGGAACAGAAAAGCAGGTTCACATTGCAATTTCTGGTCATGACTGTTTGTAGGATTTTAAAAGTTTTCCATCTTTAATATCTAAGTCTCCCAAAAAAAATGATGCAGGATAATGATGCCGTGAAGGAATTGGAAGTTTGCAGGAAAATGAATTCCGAACTGATAAAGTAACTGCTGTTTAATCAATTTCCATTGTCTTTAGCATATTTTTGCCAATGCTTAACCAAATACTCTACTTACATTTTGCCACTTAAACTCATGGGTGAAGGAGAGAGGAGGGGTGCGTCATAAAACGCATCTGTCATTGTTTTTCGATGCCTTCCTTAGCTTTCCTTTTTTTATTGATATATTCTATAAAATTGTTTCATTATCTTCATCGTTTTGGAAACATGTGTATTCCTTTCAATTAATTGACTAAAACATCCAAATTTTGAATGAACCCTTGGTATTTATGTGAACGATCACTTGTGTCAGTTTGTCTACATTAGTAATCTCCAATCTCTATGCTGTCGTTTTAATAGGCATCAAATACATCAATACTGCAATAAAAATGGACATTGTTCAGTTTGGTCTGCCCATCTGGACATGCTATCATATATTTCCCCTTTTAATTTGTTTAGCTATAAATGCCTCGATCTTTCGAGGGGATTGTTTGATGCTTGGAGAGGGTGTCATGTGGGGTCCCACGCTGTGATTTTTGGAGGGTGGCGCCCTTTTGTGTTTGGCGGTGTCTTTGGAAGGAGCGGAATAGAAGATCCTTTGATGGAGAGGAATCTTCTGTTGGGGTTGTTAAATTTCTTGTTGTTAGCCCTCTTTTTAGTTGGTTATGGGGAGAAATTGTAAATATATAGAGGCGATAGTTGATTTATTTGGGTTTCTTTGGTCCTTAGGGTCCTTTTTGGCCTTGGCCTTTGTGTAGTTCCTGGGATGCGTTTCCCTTTTGAACACTTTCTAATACATTTTTACTTATCCAAGAAAAAAAAAATTTGTTGAGCTATAAATGAGCAGGTGCAAAGCTATGCCATTTACCAGTTTCTATTTTTGTTTCTATAGAGTTGAACTTGAAACTGAAGCAATATGATATTGGATGCTGGCAATGACAGATTTTGCAGTCGCTTCTTTCCATCTTATCCAATGTATGTTTTATGTTTGCAGGGAAATTGATAGATTACGGAGGGAACTGAATAGATGTGTGAAGTACCAAGCTGCTTTCGGTTCTGTGAGGATACTTATCAACTCCTTGTAGATGAGGTTCTTGAAATAAGTTAATCTTTGTCCTTTGGTGGTTTACCTATATTACATTCTTCGCAGGTTAAAGATTTCTCAACCAAGGATCCAGAAAAGTTCAAACAAACAGATAAATATTCAATGGTGAGAAGATATAGTACCTGCCAGGGAGCAATTTATTTATCATGGCTTGCATTGCATAACAATAAATCTTAAGCTTTGATATTATGATCCATTTCCTAACTTTAAGTTGTCTTTGATTATTTTACTTGAACAACTCATGGTCATGGGGATAGGATGCTAAAATCAACAACATCCTAAACGCAAGGATATGGAATATAGAAGATGAAAGTAATATAATTTTGAATAGAATGGCAAGAAATTAAAAATGAATAGTACAAAGGTTATTGGAGAATTAGAAAGAAGAAGGTCATTATCATAAAAAATGTTGGCAAAAATAACTAAAAATGAAAAAACCTTTGACAAATATAAATATGCAAAGAAAGAGTTTTAAAAAAGTAGTGGGAGAAGTTAAGTATAGAGTATATGAGGAAATTATTCTAAATTAGATACGAAGGATCTGGAGAATAATGATATAGACTTGCTAAGTTAAGGTAGGGGAAAAGTAGAGATTTGAATAATATTAAGGCTTCGTTTGTTTGGACGTAAAATGTTTTCCTTCTAAAATATTTTCTAAACAAAACATTTTCATCTAAAATGTTTTTTTATTTTTATTTTCCAGTGTTTGGCAACGGTCCAAAAAATATTTTCTAGATTAGCTTTTGTGCACAATTAACTCTCTTTTTCAGTGTTACTCACCAACAGGAAATAGTACCCACAATTAACTCTCTCTCTCCCTCTCTCTTTCTTCAGTGTTCCTCACCAACAGGGAATAGTACCCCCTAAACCATCCCCCCCTCTCCTTGTTACTCTCTCTCTCTCTCTCTCTCTCTCTCTATGCTAAACCATTCCTCCCTCTCCTTCTTGTTACTTTCTCTCTCTAGAACATGCTCAACCCAAATTTGTGTACCTCTTTCTCTCTCCTCTCACTTTATGTATACATATATAGAGAGATGACTGAAGATTGGATTTTTAGATTGGCAGAACTGAAAAAGATTAGCTGTTAAAGGGACATAGGGGTTTAACAAGAATACGGATGGTTAGATGACCTAAGGTAGCCTGTGGAAAATGACTTATGGAAACTTTTTTGGTAAATCATTTTCAGTCATTTGGGGGTAAAATGATTTACATGGAAAATAATTTCCTAACCTTGGAGTCTTTCAAACACCGGAAAATGAGGAAAATGATTTCCAAAAAATATTTTACGGTGAAACAAACGGAACCTAAGTGTATCAAAAGTGAGGACCTATGGGTCCTAGTATAAAAAGATGTTGAAACTAAAAAATGTGGAAAAGTTACATTAAGAAGTTAAATGAAAATCGAGTATGAGTCTTAGATTTTGAAGAATATGGTAATCTAAGGGGATTGGAGATAACACACTTTTTTGTAGGATCAAGGTGTGCAAGGTAACAAATACATTTAGGGCCTGTTTGGTACCCATTTTGTTTTTGGTGTTTTTATTTTTGTCGGGTACTGTAGCAGTGAATATTGGAAAAAATGCGTTTGGTAAAAACTATTTTGTTTTGTACAGTGCAAAAACGTTTCGTTAATAGTGGCCAAAAGTCAACAACAATTTGGTGTTTTTACATATTTCCGTACTATAACAACGGGTAATGTAGCCATTATGTTTTTTAAACTTGAGACACTTTTACCAAACATGTTTTTATGTTTTTGCTTCCAAAATTTTGGCAACAAATAGGCATTACCAAACATGCTTCTGATTACCATTCAAAACACCTACAACAAAACACTTGTTTTATTTCGGGTTAAAAGAAAAATGCAAAAACAAAATGCGTACCAAACAGGCCCTTAGTAAGATGAAAGCAAGAAAGGTTTTAGGACCAGATTATATTCCTATTGAGACTTGGAAGTGTTTAGATGATGATGGTTTGTTTTAACTAATAAAGTTATTCAATAAGATAATAACAACAAAAAAATAATTTATGAGTGGTGTGAGGTATTTCAGTTTCTATAAAAATAATGGGGATATTCCAAGTTATACAAATTATTGTGGTATTAAATTGACAAGTCATGCTTTGAAACTTTGGGAGAGATTCATTGAACATTATAAAATGTGCAATTGTAGTGTTTAATAATCCACTCGGAAGATATAGAGAGAATAAAAAGGGTTATCATGGTTTAAAATATTTAGAGAAACCCTGTGAGAGGGTCCCTAGGGATATAGTTTGAGAAAAGAAAGGCGTTCTCAACATGTTAAAGGACATGTACTACAGAATTGTGGCTTTAGAAAAAACAATTGTGAGAGGAACAAGTTAATTTCCAATTATTATAGGTGTACATCAAGTATCAGTATTAATCCCATATATTTTTGTCTTAGTTATGAATGAAATAACAAATCATATTCAGGGATGGTAACGATGTTGATTGAATTGACAAAACTAGGACATGTATAAATGCTAACTAATTAGAGTTTGAAGAGAAGCTCTAGAATCGAAAGGGTTTTAGATATTTAGGACTAAAACTGAATATATGAAACCGGAGATGTTAGGCTCAATTATGCACAAAGAGGGGAAATCAGAGAAGATGTTATTTTTGGAACTAAAGCAGACGGGGTGAAATAGAGGATGCTTCTGACATATAGTGTGAATGTGCGATCAATGCATACCTTGAAAGAAATTCTAGAAAATAGCTATTAGATTAGGCATACTTCACAGTACAGGATACTGTGCAGCTAAGAAACAATATATGTATAAAATGAGTATATTGAAAATGTTAATGTTAAGATGGATGCTTGGTAAGACAAGAATGTATAAAACTAGAAATGAAAACATTGGTAAGATTGTTGGAGTAGCATCAATTGGAGATTATACAAAGGGAAAATCGATTAGGATGGTTGACCATGTACAGTGACACTTACTAACAGTACCATTAAGGAATACCGACATGGTCCTTGCTGAGGGAAAAGCGAGGAGAAGGGGAGGACCAAAACTTACATAAGTTTACACAGTTAGGAAAGATATGATAGCAAATTATATAATTGAGGATACGACATAGATAGAGATCATGGAGTTGAATCACAAAATAGAATTTAGTTAGCTCACCCCAAATAGTTGGGAAAAGACTGCTGAGTTTAGTTGAGCATATTTCAAGGGGAAGATTACCACATTTATATTCTAGCATTCTCATGTTTAGCATACTTGTGCTTGTAACTTCCTATAGATGTATGCATATTTGTGCTCACACACACACATGTACAGCCATGAGCTTTTCTTTCAAACACTAGTTTTTGTCACAAAGATTTTATAAGTTCCATGGATTTGTTTTTCAGTACTTATGAGGCAACAAGATTACTTTCTTTTGGACACCCAAAAATATGTTGACAAGTTAAATATCTAGTGGTAGGTGGGAAATCAGGACAGATGTTATGGGTCGATTTTAATTTCTTTTTTTTTTTTTCCAAAATTTTGGGATTATTTCTGTGGTTGAATAGCTACCTATTTCGCAGGCTGAAACGGTATCAATGAGAAGTGATTCAGGAGATGAGATGGCATCCTATAGCCAGCCAGAGGATGAGGTTCTACAGCATATAAATGAGCAGAAGAAGGGTGATGCCTTAATTATACAGTCTAGTGGCATTCAGAAAGAGCTGATAGATGCAAGATTCTTGATTGAAGCATTGGAATCTGAGCAGGTCCACCTAATTGAAGAGCTGGAGTTTATGCAGGAGAAGAATCAAAGATACATGGGAATCTTATGTGATAAAGACAAGATAGGGAGAGAATCTGTGCTTAAACTTGAAAGGCACTTCACAGAAACGTGTGACTTACAAAATCAGAGCCAGACCTTGGTGAGAGGGAGTAGCAAAAATACCAGCACAATGGTTTTGCAAGCCAAGTTGGATAGGATGACTAAGGAACTTGAGGAGGCTCAATTGCTTAATTTCCAATATCAAGTGGATAAGGCATCACAGTTATCTCAGGAACAGCAAGTTGAATTAGTTCATGAGCAAGTTGAGATGGAAACAACTAAAACAATTATTCATTTGGAGGAAGAGGTTGCTGCTCTCCAATCAGAACTTCAGGGGAGATTATGTTACATGGCTGAAGATAATATTACATTGAGAAACACAATAGCTGCTAAAGAGGAGGAAATGAAGACATTGTGTGTTGAGTGGGAAAGAGCAACTTTGGATCTAACAAGCTTCCTTATAGATGGTTCTAAATCTCTTAGAGATGCCTCCAGTCATATACAAAGTATTGCTTCTTCATTTCCTCATGTTAATGTCTGGATTGGTGAACATGTTGAGAGGGCTGCTAAACTTTGTATTGAGAAGGAAGAAACAATTCTGCTACTACAAAAGAGTCTGGAAGATGCACAAACGGTGGTAGTGGAAATGGAGCTGAAGTTAAATTCCTTGAAGGGTGCAACAATTGCTTTAACTGAAGGTCAGCAGCTAGAAAATTATGCAAGCACCAAAGCAGCGATTCAGTTAACTACGCTGTTGAATGATAAGATCAACATGATGGAGTTGCTAGAGAATAGACTGAAGTGGAGAGAGGATCAAATCACTGAAGCTGAAAATCGTGCTGATGCCGCACTCCTAGTAGTTAAAAGGCTATCAGAATGTCCCAAGGCTGCTCTCAGAAACGATGGTGAAGGATATATTCCCATGTCAAAACTGGCTGTTCCCTCTGAAGTGGGAAGCGACAATATTTCTGAGATAAAAGCTAATGCTAATGCCTTGTTACCTGCAGATAACGGAATTAAAGTTGCCTTAGCAAGGCTGGGAATGTTGGAGACTGAGAATATTATTAATGTATCTTGTACTGATACATTTACATCTATATCTGCTCTCCAAACTGACATTCATGAAGCTTTTTCTTTATTCAGGGAGTTGGTTCATGATTTGTTGAATGATATTCATGAGATGAGGAAGAACTTTGTGGAGTTCAGAGAGAATCAAAGAAAATTTCAAGTTTGTGCTCTATCATTGGAAGGTGAAGATAAGTTCCCAAAGCATGAAAACCAGTGTTACATGCTGTATCAAATAAGGGATCAACTTGCTGAAACAAATGGCAGACTTAACGTTATAAATGTTTGCATTAGCAAAACACTGAATAGGTATGGCTGCCAGGACACAGCTGAAGATTTAGTTGAAGTTGATGAAAGGACTGCCGATTGCTCTAATTGTGGCTCTAATCTTTCGGTTGAAAGTGTTGATTTGGAAGACAGATTTGATGAATTTTCATCCTCTTGCTGTTCTGGACACCCTGAAACTTCGGATCTAGAGTTTGAAAGGGACTCGAATTTGTATTCTAATAGGCAAGAATCTGGAAATTCGAAAAGGTTCATCAATACATCAATTCATAATGAAACAAGAATAATGCATTTGAAGGAGGAACTTAAGATGGCAAACGATGCTTTCAGTAAATTAAATGTCTGGTTTGCTGTGCTTTTTGATGAGAAAGAAATTGAAGATTGGTCTTACAAAGAAGGTGCAGGTTTACCAGGATCACGTACATTTGTGAATAAGAGTGAGCAAAATATTTTTAAGAACAGGCTTAATCAGCTCAAAATATCGGAGAAAACTCTTCAACCTGTTGACCTGATGATGCAGGAGGATGAAGCAGGCTGTCATAAGACGAGAGAGGTAAAAGTTCATATCAAACTTGCACTTGAAATATTCTGGCCGAAACTGTTAACACAATTAGTTTTTAATGGCATAGTTGTTACTTGTACCGTTTCAGAACTGTTATTTTTATTTTTATTTTTTTCATAAAAAAGAATGATCACTCATATATGTGTTTTTGTGTGGTGCAAAATTTTGTTATGTGCAGTTAATTGTTGATGGGAATACTAGTCGAGCCAATAGCTTCTTCATGAAAATTGAGGAGGCTCATGCAACTATGAAGGAAGCTGATTTTATGCTAAATTCGTTGCTGAAAGCAAATGAAAACGCAAAACAATTGACTGGCATGTGGAAACGAGCAGGTGAGGAATTGATGGTGGAGAAAGCAAGCTTATTTGAAGAAATCGAACAACTTAGATCCTCAATTCGTTTGAAGGATGGAGAAAATGCACTGCTGTGGGATCAAATCAATTACACTTTCCTTGAAATAGCGAACTTGATGGCTTTGTTTGAAGGGTTTTTTCTGGAGACTCAAAGAGATGTGGAGCAAATGTTCAAGACAATTTATTCTGATGCCTTAGCAATGGTACAGGATATGCTGCACTGCATTTGCAACTCAAGGTCATCGCTGGAAGATATTTTCTCCAAGACAATGGAGAAAGGATTTGCTTCTTTGGTGCTTTTCCAGTGCCACATTGAAAATTTTATCCAAAAGCTCCCAAGTGTCAATGTAGATCTCAGTCACCGTCAATCCATACTCCACAAAGGCTATTTGGTAACGAATAATAGTGTAAAAAATGACACTGTGATTGATGGTGTGAAGGCCGAAGTGGTAGGAGATGAAAGTCCAGTTCCCTCAAGATTGGAAGAGAAAGAGTGTGATAATCCAATATATGAAAATTTGTTACTCGACAAAGAATTAGAATGGAAAGAAGTTGCATTGAAAAGGTTGCCTTCTGCTTTTAGCTTGTCTCAAGAATCAACTTCTAGCACGAATGACGTCAAAGATGACACTGTGATTACTGGTGCAAAGGGCAAAGAGGAAGGAGAGCAAATTCCAGTTGCCACAAGATTGGAAGAGAAAGGGTCTGCCAGTGATAATCTGATATATGAAAATTTAATACTAAAGAAGGAATTAAACCGGAAAGATGTTATATTGAAAGGTTTGCTTTTTGATTTTAGCTTGCTGCAAGAATCAGCCTCCAGCAAAAAGGACATCAAAGATGGAACTGAAAAGTTGATGATGGCTTTGGGCCAAGTTCGGCATGAACTCGATACAAAAATCAGTCAGTTTGATGACATGTTGGCTCAGCATGGAAAACTTGAAGGTCGCTTGGCTGATGCTGAAACTGCTCTGTCTATCTCAAATTCTGATCTCGAGGAGGCTAGAAGAACATTAGATATCTTGTCAGACCAAAATGCTGAGTTGAGAGTGCTGTTAAAGGATATTTATATCAGCAAATCAGAAGCTGAAGAGCAACTGGAAGAGAAAAGTGAGGCAGTCAAAAGTTTAGAGAAAGAGATTGTCCGCATGACTTCTTCAGCAGAAAAAAACATACTCTCTTCAATTGAAGAAATTGAGAATGATTTGAAAAGGGTCACCAGTGAGAGAGACCAACTTCGTGAACAAGTTGGCTCCCTTCAAGATAAGCTCGGTATAGCATATGCATTAGCTGATGAAAATGAAGCTATCGCTGTTGAATCCCGCCAGGTATGTACATATAAAGAACTGTTATAATTCTAGATAATTGCTGGATCTTTTGTATGTGAAACTTGGAAATCTTCTTCTAGGAGTCAGAGGCAAGTAAAATGTATGCTGAACAAAAGGAAGAGGAGGTTAAGATTTTAGAACATTCTGTTGAAGAGCTTGAATTCACCATAAATGTGTTGGAGAAAAAGGTTAGTTGCTCTTATAATCCTTTAAATGTGGGATTTACAGATATTGATGGAAATAAAAGTGTCAGTAAGTTGATATTTTTTATTTTCAGGACTGAATTTTTGCATAATGTGAACCATATATGACTTCTGTTGAGTGTCTGAATTTCATGTTTACTTATTTCAAATCATTTTATGTATGTCTATTTTTTTTTTGGTTTCCGGTTTTGGGGGGGTGTCAGGTGTCCGAAATGGAAGGCGAGGTAGAAAGACATCAATTTATAAGAGATTCATTGGAACTAGAACTTCAAGACCTGAGAAGGAGAATGTTGACAGTTGAAAACTTTACTGAAAACCAGGAGAACTACACTGTCGAACTACCTGAAGATCAACCTCCAAGGTAGAAGGGTCCACCTGCTATCTTTGCACTAAATATTAGTTAATACTTGTAACTATTATTTTTATTTGTAATTAATTAAATGATTCTATTGCAGACAGCTGCATAATAGAGCCCTGGAACTTCATGAGGCACATAATCGGATAAGAGTTCTTGAAGAAGAAAGAGCAGAACACGCAAAAGAGGTGGAGCAAATTTTCGTGTTATAGAATTACTTTCATCAACTGCTATTTCTCTGTTTGAAGCATAAATTGTTGTTTATCTTCTGTAGATGAAACAATGCAAGGAGTACATCTCTGAACTTGTATTGCATGCTGAAGCTCAGGCATCACAGTACCAACAGAAGGTACAACGTCTCATAATTTGTTTCTCTAACCGATTTGTGATGTGAATCCTTATGAATCAGTATGTAAGAATGATTTGTTTAGATGCACCCTTTTAGTTGGAGTACAAAAGGTCTTTAGATGAGTAGCTCTCACTGATCATAAAATCATGGTGAACCACTAATTTTCTAAGATTTATAGTCAGCAAGATCCGAAATTATTTGTTTTGGTATATAAGCTTCTAGTTGAGTGCTAGTCATGGTGGGGCCTAACTCTCGAAGTCCTTGGTCACATTGAACAATGGGTGTAAACCGTGTAATTAATTGGTTGGCTTCCAATATTCCCTTTCATTAGCAACCAGTATGCCTAATATTTTATGTTATAGTACTGCATTTGATCCATACCCTTTGGACAGTACAAGTCCTTGGAGGCAATGGTTCGTGAAGTAAAGACAAATCCATCAACTTTAACATCAACAACACCAGCATTAGATAAAACAGAGAAAAGTTCAATGAGAACCAGGGGTTCTAGCTCCCCATTCAGATGCATTGCAAGTTTGGTTCAGCAAATGAATTTGGAGAAGGATCAGGAATTGTCATTGGCTAGGCTTCGGATAGAAGAGCTAGAAGCCTTGGCAGCTGGTCAACAAAAAGAGGTAAAGTAGCCTACCTCACTTAATTTCCTGTCTGGAGTAATCTGAGGGCCCTATTGTGTTTGCCATATTATTTTGGCAGGGATGAAGATGACTTACTTTCTCTTACTGAACAAAATTCTTGACCTTTTCCATATTTGTTTAATTGCTTCTCATGGTCTTCTCTCGTGTATCATAATTCTCTCTCTCTCTCTTTCTCTCTTTCTACCCTTAAACATTGGTATCTAAATACTTTCACTGGTTGTTGTGTCTATAGTACAACATACTGACAATCCGTAGTGCATCAGGTTTATATGCTGACCACTAGACTGGCTGCAGCAGAAAGCATGACCCATGACGTCATTCGGGATTTACTTGGTGTCAAGATGGACATGACAAACTACGCAGTAAGGTTTAGAATAGTATCTCAAAAACAAGATTCTTTTGAACTGCAATTTCTTATTTATTTGTGTGCATTTTTCTTTTGGCACATCCTAGAATTTGATAGACCAGTATCAGCTTCAAAGATTTGTAGAAGGGGCACAGGAACAAACACAGAAGTCTGCTGAAATGGTATATTGACAGATCTTTGATATAACACTTGCTGCTTCAACTTTTTTTTTGGTAAGTTTATTGCTTTAACTTTAGGCCTTCTATTTTTTTTTTATTTTTATTTTTTTCATATTTATTGAACTAGGAGCAAGAAATTCTGAATCTAAGGAGGCAGATTAGCGATTTAATCGAAGAACGAGAGAGGTGAGTCCTTTTCACCAAATTCCACAACTGAATATGTTTCTGTCTGTTTCATCCTTGTAATTAGGTGCTAAATGAATTCAAAATTGGAATTGTAAATTAGGTTGAGATTTTCCAAATATGATGACAGTATTGATAAGACAAATTAATGGAAAAGTAGAGGAATAGCAATTTATGTAATATTGGTGTAAGGTCAATAGGACTTTGATTGGTAAATTTCGTGCAACCAGTCTGTAATCTTGATTTTTAGTTTTTACTTATGTTTTATGAGTTAGTTTGGGTAGTTGAATTACTTCTGTCAATAAGGGCATATCAGAAAATTTGATGTTCAACTAGGGCAAAAAGGTAAATTCAACTCTCAAATTGTGCACTTACCAAATTACAGTTCATATTCACACATTCATTCAGTTAAATATGTTACGGTTTTTTTAATTTACATGTTTTGATCCACAAAAACATGTTTTAGAATGCATGAAATTGTTTTCAGAATGTATCTATTTTCAAAATCCTAAAGGAACAAGGACTGGAATTTCAATCCATCAATGAATCAAATCCAAACTCACTGGATCAATTTCAACCGGTCGAGCTTAATTTTGATTGAGCAAAATCAGCTGTAAAAGGTTTTCGAAATAGTTTTCATATTAAGATCCTATGCTTTTATAAAAGCTATTCAAGCACATAAACGTATGGAGCATATACTGAGCATCATATATTTTTGTGAGGCAATTGTAGAGTGCATCCTAGCCATTCAATTGGTAGATCTTTGTTTCATTCATCACTCATATAGAATATAGATGGTGACTAGCAGCAACCGAAAATCGTGTTGGCTCATCTGGCATGAATCTGGGTTAGAGGTAACTATGGGATTCTTGGGTTTAGACTATTCTAGTCTAGTACACTTCTATTCTGATAATGGATTTGATCTGCCTGTACCAGGTCTTGGGATTTTCGGTTTCCACGTAAAATTGGTGTTCATGGGTGGATGATTTTATGCTATTTTTATTTCCAAACTCTTACCTTTTATTATATGCTCCTTCATTAATAGTTGAATTTCAGTTACTTGATATAGTTGGAAGTTAAAAATGGGTTAAAAGTTCATCATTTAGTTTTCAAGATCTATTCACCCCACCTTTAGGTGTACTTTTCCTAACAAACCATCTTTTGAAGTGCTCCACCTAAAATATCTCTTACTAGTAATATCAAATGAAATTTATTGATAATCTGTTGCAGAAATAACTTGCTGGCAGTCTTATACCTAATATGGCATATGCACTCAACATATTCATTGGATTTTCTAGTCACATTTAACATCATATGGATTATATAATTTGTCCTCACTGACCCTCACCGTATATCTTGCATCGATATCTAATAGTTTTTTGATCCTGCATGGATTTCTTGTTCAATAGATGCATTTCAGAAGTAAATAAAAGAGGACAAGAAATACTGTGTGTCCAGATGACTGTTGAACAACTAAACGAGCGGGATCAGTTGCTGACTGCACAAAATGAAATGTTGAAGGTGTGAATATGTTCTTAGGCACATTAGTCCTTCCAACTCTCAGATATCTTAATTCTCGACTTTTCAATTTTGCCATCAAGAGGTTCCTTTAAAGTACACCGCTGCTACCTTTTTTTTCTACAGAAGGACAAGACCAATTTGAATCGAAAAATTGCTGAACTGGATGATATGGTGAGAAAACTAATTGGGACCCAAAATGTCCAACCACGAGTTCAAAAGCAGGTGAAGTAATTCGTTGAACCTCCCCTCCCCTGCCCTAAAATCTCCAATGTTAGTTTTCTGTTTCTCATGTGCCAAAGTTTTCTTGGTCGTAACAGGTGAACAGCAGCATTTTGAGGCCTACTAATGCCGATCTTAGCAGGAGGTTGTCACGTTCGGGAAATCAGCTTTTGCGGGTAAATGATGAACTGGCTCAGTACCGTAAAATTCATGGCAGCCATTCACGTGATGAAAATGGACGGAAATGATGATATAGAAAGAAAAATCAGGCAAGTGAGCAATTGAGATCAAACAACGGCTGACAGGATGAAGATGACAGACCTCGAGGCTCATCAACTTTCCCCTACCATTCATAAAAGAGATGGGAAAGCATGAAGTTTGGAGCCCTGGAGATATATATATTCCTTTTTCTTTTGTTTGCTTGCAGTTAGATTCGAACAATTCATATGTTGAGCCGTAAGAGATGTATCTATAAGATATAAACGCTTCGGAAGTCGACACGTAATCTTAGCTTATTGCATTGTGTTGAATTTGTTGTGGCATGTAAATAATCTTTACTTCGGATGTGATTTATGAAAGCTATTATGTTATTTATCAGAATAAGTGAGATTTGTTTCCTGAATTGATTCATTGATCTCATGCACTGAACATCAAGTTTCAGAGCCTGTCTAGAAACAAAGAAAAAACAGAGATGAAGCTCATCTGTTTCTTACCATTTGGTCAACTTCTCAGTTCTCAGCCACCAACATAATGCCAAATGAGCTCCTTTTTCATGTGAGGGGGTGATGTCATCCTCCTTGCATTAATCCCAGAACGCGCAGCAGTCGACTTAAGGCACTGTTTTTGGTGCAGGCCGCGAGAGCCGTATCAAATCAAGGCAAACTCTGAATATTAGATATGACTTCAAAATAAAAATAACAGGAGTGAAGGTAGGCCAGTGAGACAATTGGAATAAGCTTCATTGTCGAGAGAGGGAAACAGCCCGTAACCCTGTATCACAATTCTTAAAAAATAAATAAAGCAAGCACAAAAAGATATACAACTTACAGCAGCACGCATGGGCTTTATGCACCATATTTCTGCTTGGAAACGCCAAACAAAAAATAATAATAATAATAAAAATTAGACACTGCATCTTCCCTGCTGCTCGGTTTCTTCTAGACTACCTACCCAAAACAAATTCTTATATGCCATGATAAATTTTGGTACTGCTTGCCAGTTGAAAAGGCACAAAAGAACAATTAATGATGAATGTAATAAAACAGATTATTATAGGAGGAAGCTATTGGAGACTTCTGCTTTCTGGAAACATAAAAAATCACAGGAACATTGAGCTTGCACAACTGAGGTCATTCTACTTTGCAGAAGTAGAGAATGCTTTAATGAAGCTAATACAATACACTAATTGTCGTAAATCCATTGTTACCAGTTAATCAAAACAGAGTTTATAGTCATATTAAATATGAAGGCAGAAATTTCCTTTCGTGCAAAATACTTCTACATCTATGTGCGGAGAAAGGCAAAAATTGCATTTGCTATGCACTGAACAGTTAATATCACAATTTGTTATTGCAAAAAAGCTACACAGCATTAGTTCCCAGTACTCAACCAGAGAACTTCATCCCATTATCAACAGCACTAGACTCCAGTTTACAAGGAAAAACAGAAACATGTACATCCCCACCACTCTTGCTTTTTTGATGATGAATATCCTCAGAAATAAGACGTGTTAGCCAATACTTACAAGTATCACCAGTACACCTGATGAGCCATACTACCATATGTTGAGTCATCAATCTATACTATGCTCTATTTAAATATTCCTCTTTGATTTTCTTTCAAGAACGCCATACAGCCATATGTTGAATCGTCCATCCATACTATAACGTGGGTATATTTCCTCTTTAATTTGCTATTCAGAACCTTTGACTTGCTGCGACACACTGCTTCCTTCATTGCCTAACTGTTAAAAAAAATAATATATATATATTGTGGGATACAGAGATAAGCAGAGAGCTCGTTAACCAACTCGATGAACGAATTTGTAGCAAAACCCTAAAATCCACTTAAAAGGAGACGACCAATTCAATGATGCATTGCAATAATTATTTCAGAAACTATAGTTCTGTACATATTCTCTCTCTCTCTCTCACACACACACACATATACCTTTTTTTTTTTCACAAATAAACAGCAAATATCATGAGAAGTTCCAATCTTCAAGTGGAAGTTAGAGCAGCGTTTGTAACTAGAAACAATGTATAATATCCAAGTGCTTAAACAGAAACAGCTTCATAACAAAAAAAAGGAGCACCATAATCGTTAACTTTGAACAATATATTTTGTCCACTGATGGAAACTCATAAGGAAAATTTTCTACCTACTTTGGTTCCATGGTGAATAACTAATAATTCTAATTGCTACCAAATATTTTTTTTCCCAAAACTCCACAAATGTTTTTAATTCAATTACTAAACATGTTAATTACTATAACTTAGGACAAATATAGTACATTTTATTGTACTATTTTACATATTTATTATGAAAAAGAAAAAAAATACTAACCAAAACATTTGTCATATTAAACTGACAGTCAAACATGAGGACTCAATTGTGTCGACAGTTGCTAGTCTGTTACTGAATTTACGACATTATACACCCATTAAATTTGTACGATGGAAAAGTTATCCCGGAGTGATGAAATAGACTCGGTTGTTCTATTAAAGCCATTAACCAATAAATTCTGGACAGCATCATCATCATCCTTGCCTTGATCGCATATGAATGAGGCTGACAACATGAATTTCTTTTTCCATTCAAGCCAAATCTCCTAATATATGTAACTTTCAAAATTTTTGGAAAGTCCCATATGATTTTTACTTATTGATTGACTTAAAAGGACAAATTACATAAAGATACCTGTTACTTCAAAACATTTTTGTTAATAGTTGCAACGGTTTGAAGCCACAACTACACATTGTTTCTTCAAACTTAAATTTTTTCATCCCATTTGTTAACAACCATCTACTACAAAAGCTTAAGTTGTTAAAGAGGGTTAACTTTAATATTTAAATCCTTCAACACGCCTCCACACGTGTGACCATCTTTTGGTCCAACACACGTGCTACAATTTTAAATATCAAGGTGATGGTGAGGTTTGAACATAGGACATTGCCTCCTTTGATATCATGCTAGCAATCATCTATTCCAAAAGCTTAACCTCTTAATAGAGGCGGACCCAAAAATATTACTTTGTGGGGGCCAAAGTAAAAAATATAAAATGAGATCTTAAAAAGAAAATAAATGTAACAAATTTTATTTTAGTGCACTTTTAAAAGCATTTCTATAACTGATGAGAAGAATAAATGAAGAGAAGATTAGTTAACAAATCAATAAATGAGGTTGTCAATTGTGGAGCATTTTTATCCTTCTCCGGTAAAATCAGAACAAATATATAAACATGTGTGCGTGTGTGATATATAAATAGAGTTCTGATATGTTGTAACAAGGATTACAACCCTTTTTATTACATTTGAAATTTTAAAAGCAAGACTGAAGCTTTTGAAAGCATCACAAGTAATTCATTTCACAAACCACCTTTAATTACCATATATAGGTAAATTATAAATGGGAATTTATCAAAAATTTGGGAGGCCAACATTAATTTTCCCTATACAAAATCCTCCCCAAAACTTTCCCTTTGATGAACGAGCACTTTGTCGAGCCTCCCTACTTATTTCCTTTCTCTTTTTCAGATTCCTTCTTCCGTGGTTGAAAGGATTTAGAGGTTGCAGCGGAACTTTCTATGGGGGAAGGAAGGGGAGGAGTTTAAGTATCATTTGGTCAACTGGGAGTAGGTGTGTAGCCCTATTCGAAAGGGTGGATTGGGTATCAAAAGACTAGCGCCTTTCAATAAGGCCCTCTTCGGGAAGTGGTTATGAAGGTCTGGGGTGGAGAGAGACAGACTACGGAGGAGGGTGATTGCGAGTAAATTTGGGGAGGATATAGGTGGATGGTGCTTTCTTGAGGTGAGAATCCCAGTGGGAGTTAGGGTTTGGAAGTTCATCCAAGAGTGTTGGGATAGAATTTTCTAAACACATCATGTTTCGAGTCAAGTATGGCAGCACAATATGTTTTTGGGAGGATGTCTGGTGTGGTTATCGTCCTCTTGCCCTCTCTTTTCCTAGACTCTTCAGGATTGCCACGGACAAATGCGCCTTGGTGTTTGACTGCTATCACCTTGATAACAGAAGAACATCCTGGGAAGTGCATTTTACGAGGAACTTTCAGAATTGGGAGATTGAGGACGTCATTGGTTTTTTGGAGCAGTTGTATTGCCAGGAGATTGTGGACGGAGTTCTTGATTCCGTGGTGTGGGTTCCTTTTTCCCAGGGTCGCTTTGAGGTTCGGTCTTTCCATAGGTGTCTTACGGATGCTCTAGGGACTGTGTTCTTGTGAAGGCTATTTGGCATTCCAAGGCTTGTCTTAAAGTGGCCTTCTTTGCTTGGACATCGGTGTTGGGGAAGATTTTGACCCAAGATAATCAAAAGGAGGAGACAAGTTGCGGTCAATTGTTCTAGCATGTACTTGAAATGAGGAAATAGTTGATGATCATCTTCTTTTGCGTTGCCCAGCTTGGGACTGCTGGGTTTTGATGTTGAGATTGTTCGGGGTATAGTGGGTTATACCCAGGTCTTCCAAAGGCTTGGTTGAGGCTTAGAGAGGTTGAACAATAGGGGTCCAAGCTTGTGATTTATGCAGGGTCACCTTTATGCGTCAGGTGGTGTTTATGGCTTGAAAGACATTAGAGATCTTTTGAAGGACAGGAGAGCCCTATTGACGCGCTGAAGTTCTCCATTATTAGCACTCTTTTTTCATGGGTTCTTAGAAGAAATTATAAATCCATGAAAGAGAGTTGATTTTTTGGACTCATTGAAAGTTTAGAGGACCTATTTGGCATTGTTTAGTTTCTGAGGGACGCGTTCCCTTTTCAACGCTTCTCAATACAATATTTATCGAAGATTTAATGGAAGAATCAGTGGAGGAAAATCCTCCACTAAATGATGTTGTTTACTATTCACTTGTTTGGGCTGCCGGTGCGTTAGGTAGCATTGTTCTTCGCCTTTACCATGTTTCCGACAATTTTTGTACTTGTTTGGGCTGCCGGTGTGTTCGGTAGCATTGTTATTTGCCTTCTCTCTTCTCTCTTCATTATTCGCACTTGTTGCTACTCGTCATCTCAATGGCAAGTTGGGTATTCATGCTCCAACTTGAGAGAGAGTATTAAAGATTTAAATGGAAGAATCAGTGGAGTAAAATCCTCCACTAAATGATGTTGTTTCCTATTATTCAAGATTTAGGATTACTAAAGGAATTAGTGGAGAAAATTTCTCCTTTCCTATTTTCTATCTCTTTCCATTCTCATCATTTCTTCTCAATATACAGAGGAGCCTCCACCATTGTATTGTGTATGAAAGGGAAAATATTATAAAAGTGATGTAGCCCTTTGAACTCTTTGTGATGTGGGTGTAGACCCTAGTGGTTGAAGAACGTAATATCTGTGTGTTCTACTCGTTTTATTTCTCTCGACTTCTATTTTGTTATTTACAACATGGTATCAGAGCCAAATTTCTTTACCTAGGTTCGGAACCCTATTTTGGGGGTATTCCTTAGATGTTGCTAAGGGTTTCTCGGTGCTATTTATGACTTGTTTGGGCTGGTCGTGTGTTCGGTAGCATTGCTCTTCGCCTTTGCTGTGTCTCTGGCAGTTTTTATTTGACTTATTTGGGTTGCCGGTGTGTTCGATAGCATTGTCCTTCGCCTTTGCCGTGTTTCCGGCAGTTTTAGTTGACTTGTGTGGGTTGCCGTTGTGTTCGGTAGCATTGTTCTTTGCCTTCTCTCCCCTCTTCATTATTTGCACTTGTTGCTACTTGTCATCTCAATGGCAAGTTGGGTATTCATGCTCCAACTTGAGGGGGAGTATTGAAGATTTAATGGAATAATTAATGGAGGAAAATTCTCCACTATATGATGATGTTTCCTATTATTGAAATTTTACTGTTAGGAATCAGTGGAGAAAAATCATCCTCCTGTTTTCATTCTCACAATTTCTTCTCATATGTAGAGGAGCCTCCACCATTGTATTGTGTATGAAAAAGGAAAATATTATAAAAGTTATGTAGCCTTTGAGTTCTTTGTGCTGTGGATGTAGGCCCTAGTGGCTGAACAACGTAATATCTGTGTGTTCTACTCGTTTCATTTCTTTTGACATCTATTTTGTTATCTACAACAATATTACTTATCAAAAATTCCATATACAAAATCACTAGAATAACTATAAATAATTACCTTTTGTGGCTAAAATACGTAATATCCGTGTGTTTTACTTGTTTTTTACTTCTATTTTGCTATTTACAACAATATTACTTATCAAAAAAAGAAAATTTCCCTATACAAAATCACTATAATAACTATAAATAATTACCTTCACTAGAGTTTTGAGAGAATTTTGGCGGGGACAAATATAATTTTCCTCTACAAAGTTACCATTAATACTATAAATACTTACTATTAATAGAGTTTGAGAAAAAAGCCAACCACTCCCCCCTCCCGCCCCTTGTTGTTAAAGAGGGTGTAACTCTAATATTTAAATCCTTCAACACCATTAATAAATCTAATATTTAAATCCTTCAACACCATTAGTTGCAGTTGACAGAAGCTTAGAATACAAGGTGAATTATAACAGCTCAGAATACAAACTGCAACAATTCATCCATAGGTTAACCACATTATAAATATGTTTGAAGTTTAATGCAGAAAGGTATGTCAAGTCACCTTAAAATTCTCAAATTTTTTAACCAGCCTCATATACTGATCACGTGCCTCTGGGTGACGAACCATGGATTGCACTCTTGCCAAAGCCTTATCAACACCTGCAGATTTCTGTTTCCGGCCTATTCGTAAAAATTCATACTCATCATTCTTTTCAGTCCCGGGTACTACATTTTGAATTGTTTTCTGTGTCAGAAATCCTCGCAAACCAGGTCTTCTTCGCCTCCAACGCAGTATGGCCTTCTCAACAATACTAACAGACCAAACAACCTTTTTATATTGCATACGAACTTGATGCCCCCTCACATGAGCCTGAAAGCATCGGCAACATGAACAAAAAATTTAAGCGCCTATACTTCCAAGATAGAGAGTGTTTAGTCTAATTTAATCTAAAAGTGGACAAATCCCCATATACTGCAATAACCAACATATTTGTGAATGATAGAGAAACACATTCAGCCTCAGTTTCATCCAAGACTCAAAGAAGCTTCTAAAGAACCTTATAAATTGAATTAAGAATTTAGATTGCAGCTTAATGGTAAGAAAAAGTTGAGAAACAGTCAAGGTTTTGACAAAAATTGTCAATCACAGCCAAAAACTTCATAATGAACTTCTTTGCAATCATGAGAACTAGACAGAACACCAGATGATTATCACCTAACACAATCCCAATGAAGAAAAGAGCACCCCTTAAACTGCAACCCTTAGATTGCTCTACAATTTATTGGCCAACAAATGAATACGGTACATTGTGTTGCCCTACAAATATGTTAAACTGAAAAGCTTTCATGTGCATTGCATGTGACAACTTTAAGAACATGAGTTTCATAGTCAAGTCTAATGTGCATATCATGTGACCACTTAGGCAAAGCATGCAAACACTCTCATGCCATTAGGAAACATCACCAGCTAAACTAAACCCAAATATCGAAGTAACAAAATCAAGATATGAATATAGTAACCACTTCAAAACCGGAAAGCACAAAATAGAAAATTGGATTGGGAAAACACATCTAAAGATGAGATCCAAAGGTACAATACAAAATGTGCAGTGCATGTGACAACTTTAAGAGCAAGTTTCACACTCAAGTCTGGCGTACTAATTGTGTGACAGACCACTTAAGCAGGCATTGCAAATACTCCCACACCATTAGGAAACATCAAATGCTAAACTAAACCCAAATATCAAAGTAAGTTAAACAAGATTTGAATATACTAACAAATTCAAATCAGAAAATCCAACAATAGAAAACTGGATCGGAAAAACCAAAGCTACAACACAAATTGTGAAAGGACATTTATACTCGTACAAATATTGATGTCTTTTTGATTGGATAAACAGGTTGTTGATATGTTAGTATAATTAACAAAATAGAGTATTTAATCAAGGAACAAGATCAAATTTTTTTCAAAAAACTAGTCCCACAAACAAAGCAAGTTATGAGTTGTGTACCTGGATTTTCACAATACGGTTGCGTATCTTCAAAAAATCTTTTCTACCCTTCCAGCCACGGTATTTCTGCTGGATCTTTATAGCTGCAGAGTGCAAATAATCATCAAAGTTCCTAATCTTTTGTGCCTTATAAGAACCAAGAGCAACTAGATTAAGTGAAACTTCAGAAATGTCATTGCTGCTCTTTGTTAACTGCCTCTGATGGAATGAACGAGCCCTAAAAGAAGCTTGGATGAGGGCAGCTGCATGTGCTGATTTTCTAACAGCAGCAAGAGACCCTCTCAAAGAAAGTTCCTCATTTGTTGTCTTCTCTGATTGGACAACATTTTGCTTTGCAGCTTCAAGGGCCTTCTCTGCCAAAATAGTGGCAGCAGAACTGTCCACACCATTCTCATTGACAGTCAAGTTAGAAAGATGACTAGTTAGATCTGCTTCTGCCAAATATCCAGCAAGTCCTTTATGGCCTCTACTTGATGCTAGATCGGCAGCAGTTTGTCCTCCAGGAAATGCTGGTGTAGGGTCATCAACGGAACCTGGAGCTGCACCCAATCTAACTAGTGCAATTACTGTTTCCTCTCTGAAACAATAAACAAAGCATAAATAAACAAACAAAGCACAACATAACTGACAAAATATAAATAAACAAACTAAGCACAACATAACTGAATAAGCAGGATGAATAAAAAAACATCGAACAGACTTGATGTACTGCGAGGATGAATAAACTTGCTGTACTGCGAGGATGAATAAAAAAGAGACACTAACATTTAAAGTTGAAGTTTTTACTGTTCTACCTTACTCCAAAATGCCCAAATGGGATTTGTAGCATATACTAGGCCAAAATGACACTGAACTACCAGATCTTACCGGATTGTCCACGAAAACCAGGCACAAATTTCAAATAAATCCTCTAGAGTCTTTTATGTAGTCAGCAATTTTACAGGGGAACAAGCTTACTAGAAGGGGATGGAAAAAATAGAATAAATGCCGCTGTGAAAGAACGCATATAAGCTCTTCATGTAGTGTTATCTCCGGTTTGAAGTTAATACGTGTTACTTTTAAGATCTTAGTACTATCATGCTAGGATTGAATTGCCATGCATTTGGCTACAGGGTAAAGACATATATATGTGTATATATGTATATATATATATATATATATCTTTTTTTTTTTATAAGTAAAATGTATTAGAAAGTGTTCAAACGGGGAACGTGTCCCAATAGCTATACAAAGGCCGAAGCCAGAGACAAGGTCCTAAGGACCCACCGAACCCAAAAAATCAATAGACTCATCAACGGATATACAATTTCTCCCCAAAACCCAACTAAAAAGAGAGCTAATAATATAAAACTTCAAAGCCCCAAAGGAAGATTCCTCCCCTTCAAAAGATCTTCCATTCCGCTCCTTTCATAAGCATCACCAAACACAAAGGGGAACCACCCTCCAACACTCACAGGCGTGGGCTCCCACACTACAGCCTTGCCAAGCTTCAATCAACTCGAGGACTGAGGCATAACCCAATGGACGCTGAAAAGGCCAAAGATAAGGCTCCAATAGTCGTGAGCTACAAGGGAATGCAAAAAAAGGTGATCCACAGACTCGCCACTCCTCTTGCACAAACAACACCAATTGATTGTAATCTATCTTCTCTTTCTCTAATTATCCAGGGTCAAAATCTTGCCCCAAACAACAATCCAGACAAAAAAGGCCACTTTGAGGGGAGTCTTGGAACGCCTTATCGTCTTCTAACGGAAATTAGAACCATGAAATTCAGAGAAACAACAGAATAGGGAACGAACCTCGAATCTCCCCTGAGAGGAAGGCACCCAAACCAGAGAATTCGTGCCCCTACCATCTACTTCCTCTCCGTACAACAAGCCGATAACAGTCGGCCACCAAAGCATGTCTATCCAAGGAATCCGGAAAAGTTTGGGAAAGGAACGAGCCAACGGGCGATCACCACACCATAAATCCTCCCAGAACCGATCTCCCTTGCCATCCCGTACTCTAAATCTAATATGCTTAGAAAATTCATCCCTTCCCTTACGAATGAATTTCCAAACACCCACACCTCTAGCGAATCTGACCGGATCTAAGGGCCAACCGCCTCTCTCCTCCCCAAACGATGATGATCACTTCCGAAAGTGTGGCCAACGAGGAATAAGGTCAACCTCTCTCCACAACCACTTTCCCAAAATTGGCCTGTTGAAAAGGGCCAAACTCCTAATACAGGGTAAAGACATATCAGTATCCACAACTTTTTTGTCCTTACACTTTTGACTCTTTGCTCCTCAGTACACAAGAAAATTTTCCAAAAGGCTTTTATAGCCCTATAAGAAAGGACACAAGGATGCTTAATGCCAATTTACATAATTGGGCAACATTAAAGCATCAAAATGTCTCTTAAATAGTATAGTGAATTGCAATTTTAAATAAATGAGCTGATGTATATTTCTACAGACATCAGTTTTAGTTATTTTTCACTTATGCTCTGCTCAGTAGGAAGGAAGAAAAAGGGGTGGAAAGAAAATAAGAAGGAAGGAACAAAATTCCTTCGTTCGGTAGGAAGGAGACACGGAGGGAAAGGATAATAGGAGGGATGTCTTATCCCTCTTTCTTTATAAATTTTCATCTGCCCAAATTTGGGCGAAAGACAGGAGAGAAAACAAGTGGAGCTATTATAAAACTATTAAATTACAATATTATGCTTTCCAAATATAAAAAATTAAACCCTACACATCTCATCTCACCTCACGCACAAAAAAAAAAAAAAAAAAAAAAAAAATTCCTTAACCTTGTAATCCTTGTTTGGTCGAGATCTGGATATTATATATATATATATATATATATATATGGATTGTTCTTTATATAATTTCCTTATTAGTAAAAAAGAGGATTCAGAAGAAAAAATACACATTTTACATAAAGAACCATACAATGCCATAAAGCATTTTTTTAGAACATATTTAGAACCAAAAAAAAAAAAACTCCATATTCACACCTAGTTCAAAAAACAGTAGTTACTTCACTAGTATTGTCATATATTGTAAGACTACAACTAGTGGTACAAATAATTTTGAGTGTTCAGATCTCATATTGTAATGCAAGTTAAATACAACGCAAATGGCTGAATATAAGAATTTTAGTTTGACATGACTCTACTGGGATAATATTTATCAAAGAAGTATGTACATAGTGGGATACATTTTTTTATATTATTATTATTCATGATGAAATATGGTATTATATATATATATATATATATATATATATATATATATATAATTAAAGCAAACAATAAATTAGAGTGAAATTAATGGTACTATTTAAATGAGTAAAGATGATGGCTATTTACCGGGAAAAAAAAAATAACGAAAGGTATAATGATAAAAATAATTTTAAATTCTCCCTTCTCTTCTCTCACAACGAAGAAAGGAATTTGATAGGTTCTTCTCTTCTCTTCCATTCAACAGAACAAAATGAGGGAAGTCCATAATCTCTTTCCTACGGATATCTCATCCTTCCCTTCTTCTCTCCCTTTCATTCAATTTACTTCCTTCCTAACAAACGGAGCCTTAGTCAAATGGTCATCTGAATTTAATGACATGACACTCCACATGAAAAAACTTTAAAAAGAACAATGACATGGTGAAATATATGCAACAAAACAATATATATATTTACATAGAAAAATTATACAACATACGATAAGCAGTTAAGCACCACCTTTTTTTCATTTTGATAAGTTAAGATAGTATAAAAGGTGTTCAAAAGAGGAATCCATCCCTCAAAAGCTACACCAGGCCAAATAGGGCCTCTACATCCTCAATGAGTCCAAACAATCTACAAGCTCCTCCCAAGGATTTACAAATTCTCCCTAGAACCCAACAAAAAAGGGTACTAATAATGGAGAGCTCCAACTACCTATAGGATTATCCTTTCCTTAAAAAGATCTATTTATTTCAAAACACAGACACCACCAGACACAACGGCATAACCGTCCAGAAATCACAAGCTCGGCCTCCACTATAAAACCTCTCTAAGCCTCAACCAAGCCTCTGGAGACCTAGGCATAGACATAACCCACTGAACCCCAAACAAGCCCAAGAATAAAATCCAGTAATCTCGAGCCACTGGGCAATGCATAAGAAGGTGATCGACCATTTCTTTGTCATTCTTACACATACAACACCAATTGACTACAATCTGATGCCTCCCCTTAAGGTGTTTATCTTGGCTAAAGATCTTCCCAAAAATGGATGTCCATGAAAAAAATGTCACTTTGAGAGGGGCCTTCAAACGAAAAATAGCTTTCCAAGGAAAGGGCGGGCTCGGGGCATCCGAGAGACACCTAAAAAAGGCCTAACATCAAATTGACTTTGTGAAGAGGGAACCTACACCCAAGAGTCAAGAACCCCTCCCACAATCTCTAGGCGATACAGCAACTCCAAAAAACCAATGGCATCCTGAATCTGCTAATCCTAGAAATTCCTTAAGAAGCACACATCCCAAGCCGTACTCTCACTATCAAGACGATAGCAATCGACCACCAAGGCATGTCTATATGTAGCAATCCAAAAAAGTCTATGAAAGGTAGGGCAAGAGAACGATCTCCGCACCAAATTTCCTCCCAAAAGCAGATTCCCCTGACATTATTGACTCGAAACCTAATGTGTGTGGAAAATTCATCCCACCCCTTCCGAATGAATTTCCAAACCCCATCTCAACTAGGGAGTCTCCTCTCAAAAGAGCAACAACCTCCTCTCGCTCCCCATATACGCCCACAATCACCCTCCTCCAAAGTTTGTTACAATTAAGACTAATGCTTTATGATATGTGAAACTTTCGACACATAAATCATTAAATTATTTTGTATCACATGAATTTTCAACCTAGTCATAAAATTATACAAAGGCAAAGCTTGTAACCACAAGGCATCTAATGCTTAAGACAGCAAAAAAGGTCAAAGTCTGTACAATCCTTCTATTGAGATCCAAGAACTGTTGTTGCCTACCTTTGACAATGTGTCACACTAAAATTTAAGGGTGAATTAGCTTACTCAGTGAACTAGGATCACAGACTTCAAGTTTGCTTGCACAAGAGAAAACCTAAGGGAACGGACTGGCACCCTAAGCTCTGATACATTGTATGAAAGGTTCAATTTAGACCTAGAGAGGGGTGAATAGGTCCATAGACACATTTTATTTTATTTTTTATTTATTTTTTTTTTGTGAAAAACACCATGAAGGAAAAAAATACAGGACCATTCAAGCACGGACAGATTACATCAGTAGGTTACTAGATTCTAATCCCAATTCCTAACAATCCCCTAATTACCTTCGACTTGGGTTCATGCCAAACAATTTTCCCCTTATTACGCTGCTGTCAATCAAACAACTTGATCACTCACAAATTTGCTCTCCATGGTTCAAGTTTTCTACGAAATCATCGCATTGATTGATTGTATGATACTTCTCTAATTTGCTCATTGCTTTGAATCACTCAATCACATGAGTATTCTTTATTCTAAAATCCTAAATTAATTCTAAAATCCCTCTCCCTAAAAGAGATACTCTT